GTGACACTGACATCACTGCTGTAAATACAATATCCAATGAAAACACAGCAAAAAAATCACATGACTTTTACATCACAATCAATAAACCAATGAAAAATGGGAATCCCTGAAATACAGGTCAACTAATTTGCATACAAATGAAATTGCAATCCACAACAGCTGATAAATCTGTAGCTTTGTTTACTAAACAATCCTAAGTAGAACCTTCAGGAATAATTACACACAGGTGTATGATACCTTAACCTTTTCCCTTATAGAAGCGAGAATCGCCGTCTTTTACCATTCCCTGATAGAAGCGAGAATCGACGGCTTTATCGATTACCGCATGTAAGCGAGAATCGCCGACATGCATGATCTCAATGGAAGCGACTTTCGCCGACTTTAATATTTACCTGTCCAAAAATCAACAATTTTCCCGGAAAATAGACATGTAAATTGTGTTAATATCGTAAAGATCAACATTTCATGAGGGGATTCCGTGCATAAAATTATGGTGTTACTATTTAAAGTTTTTGTATAATTAGCGACCAACCAGCTGAGGGGTTTTCCTTACGTCACGCAGTTAATGAGTGCGCGGGTCAATGAAATAAATATAGAACGTATCGTAAGACAGGAACAAAAGTGTCTAAAAATAGCATCTAATGAATAAATAGTATTTATATGATCACGGGTCGTTCACGTGCCAGGCATGGTATAATGGATTTGATGTTTGTTTTGGTTTATGATAGCTGACATGTGTATATACACGGATTAATTAACGTCCTGACAAGGGGTATCTCTCTGGCCCCTGCAATAAAATATTTCCGGTAGCAGCGGCGTTTTTATTAAGAAAATGACCGACAAAGAAATGTTTAATAGTTTAAATTCTTTCATGTGCGCTATTGTTTTCATAACAGACACAGCATGGGGCCGTGTATTATACGACATGATAAAATCATATCCCATATATCATCTTTGATGTCGGCAACATGAAAATGCCGAAAAGGCCGTGGAACTCGAGGATGTCTTTCCTTTATCATCATTTGATCTAAATTAGATCTATAAATGATAAAATTTAATTAAATTCATAATTCATGAAGAAAATATATGACCATGACAGCAGAAATTCTGAAATATTTCATTCAACAGTTATATACATGTATTACAGAAATGACAGTTACTATTATGAAATAAAATATAAAAAAAAAAACTGATAAAATAAATAAAAAAAAGATTTCTTTTTACTGGTATAAAAAAAGGTAAAAAAAGAACTTGTTATTTATTTCACTAAAAATGAATGCTGCATAAACCAAAAAAATTAATAATAAATTAGCCATATTTCCCTAATGAGAGAAAAAATTATACATCATTTTATTGTTTATAACTACTGTAATTATACTGTTATAAAGCCCACAAATATAAAATTTATACCACTGGAAAGATAATTCAAATCTCTACAAATCTTACATTGACATATATATTGTCAAACTTGTAATTAAACCATTTCACATTAGTTAAAACACATAAGTAGCCTAATTTATCTGAAACAATGGAGAAAAAAACACCTAGTATATAGTTTATTACTTTATAACTCATGTAGACATATTTGTATAAACCCAACAAATATGATATTTATACCATTGGAAAGGTATTTCAATTCTCTACAAACTTTTTATTGATACAAAAATTGTCAAAACACAACTTAATACTTTATTTTCCAGTTAAAGTATATAAATATCTAAATTGACCAATTTTACCTATAATTTATCATACCCTATATGGAGATAGTGTGTGACTCCTTATCAGTAGGATATTGATTATTGATTATCTATCTGGCTACTGTATTATGGGGTGTAAAGCAGTAAATTAAGGGGGCTGTATCAGGGAAAAGGTTAAAATAGATCCAAACAACAGAATTTTCCAGCAAACCTGAAATTTGATGAATCAATCAAAGGGGAAATACTTACATTATCAAATTGTACACTAAATCAAAAGGTCAAGAAGTGTATTGATCAATGATTTGTTTACACTCTAATTTTTAATGAATTTAGGAGAGAATTGTTTCACAATCAGCAGTATAAAAGAAATAGATTTAATTAGAAGGAATTAGATTGATTGACAGTTAGAAAAGGTACATTACTGATACTGAATTGGGAGCCTTCACCTGTTATTTAATTAATCATGCAAAGGTGAAATCTTTCAGATTTACAATTTATCAATCACACATATTACTCAAAAAACTGCAGTTGCAAAAGAATCATTATTAAATAACACAAACAAATACTTTATACTCTGTTATTTCTAAATTTATATGTATGTATTTTTGTTAATCGGTCAACTGCAATTGATTGAATAATCACATTTCAAATATTCCTACTTACAATCTGTTGAACAACTTTGCAGCCAATAGAACATTGTACCAATATTCACTTGTAATAATAAATAGATAAAGTTCTAATGTCACATTTTCTCATATATCACACATAAAATGATATCTGCACAATTTACAGTTCTAAATGTTCATCTTTACTCCATACGTCTGTCTAGATGGTTGATACTTGGGTGAAATTGGTCCGTCCTTGTTAACTTGATGAATAATGGTCTGTCTTCCCAATTTGTCGGTTGACATCGGTTCAACAAACTTCATTGCTCATCTGCTCAATATTTCTACGTCACCGATCTTGATCTGTTGACGCCATTTGTAACTTGGTTGAAATTAAAAGGTTGTACTAACCAAGAAATTGGGTTCTACTCTTATCTCCGCGGCGTCTAAATTTGGATCAAAGATGTCTTTCCAAACAAATAACTGTGCACAGTTCTAATGTATTTATTTATCTTCTAGTTCTGACATACATGTATATCAATCTTACATATATATCCAAACATCAGTAAACCAATCAATGATCGACAAACTAAATGAATCGTCAATGAATCGTCAATGAATCGTCAATAAATCTCATTCAATCGAATCGATCAAATCAATCGACACTCTGAAAGTAAACAAATTATATCAACATAAAAATAAAGTAAAATCCAGTTCCTATATCTGAAAAGCATAATTATCAATTATAAAAACATCCTTACTTAGTTGATCAATTACAAATAGATATTTGCAACACATTACACATAGGTACATTAACATATAATATAGTTATATGCTTTCTATTGGCTGTCATTAACATAAATAGTTCATTTAATGAAATAATCATAAAATACATAACAATCATAGAGAATATCCAAACTTACCAGTTTGTGGAACTGAATGTACAATTATATCATATTACATCATCTTCTTCAGAACACACATACTTCCAAACTCTCTGTGCTGTAATTTCTGCAAATTATAATAAACAAAATGTGCAAAGTGATGGGAATGAAATGTGATATTAAGTTAATAGAAAGATAGATTTACTGCTTTTTCTGAAACAATTCTCAAACCACGAAAACTAATGATATTTCAAATAAGACCACAATCATTACTTAATTAAAAACAAATCTATGACATACACTCTTTAAAACACTGATAATAACCAAATACAACTCAAAATCATAAATACCAACTATCAATAATCCAAATTTTAAATAAATTTAAAACACTAAGAAAATGTCTGATCTTATTTTTCACAAAGCCGCTTCAACAAAAACAAAACTAGTCACATGATCAAAATTGCGGGAAACCAAGGGAAACAACTCAAACAACCAAAAATGTATCAAGACACTTGAATTATCCATCCTGTTACAAAATTATACATTTTTATCACTAAACATACTACCATGTATTATAAGAATGCCCTTACAGGTATTTTAAGGTCATTTGTGCCTCCTTAGGAAATATTTTAAGGTCCCTAGCAGTCCTTTTCGCACCTGAGCAGTCCTTAGGGGTCCCGCAACTCATCAAAAACATAAATTCTATCACCAAAATTATATTTTTTTCTTACAAAAATACATTTTTTATCTATTAACTTACTACTATATAATATAAAAATGCCCTAGGAAGTAATTTAAGGTCCTTTGTGCCTCCTTAGCAGTTGTTAGTGCACCTGAGCAGTCCTTAGCGGTCCGACAACTCTTCAAAAACATAAATTTTATCACTAAAATGATATTTTTTCTTAAAATAATACATTTTTTGTCACTAAACATACTACCTTGTATTATAAGAATGCCCTAGGAGGTATTTTAAGGTCCTTTGTGCCTCCTTAGCAGTCTTTTGTGTATCTGAGCAGTCCTTAGCGGTCCGACAACTCATAAAATTTTCACCAAAATCATATTTTTTCTTAAAATTATATTTTTTTTTTCACTAAAAATAATACCATGTAATGTAAGAATGGCCTAGGAGGTATTTTAAGGTCCTTTGTGCCTCTTTAGTAGTCCTTTGTGGCTCCTTAGCAGTCCTTAGCGGTCCTTAGCAGTCCTTAGCAGTGTTTAGTAGGACCCTGAATAATTTATTTCCCTTATTTACTTTTAAAAGAAAATTGATTCATGAAAAACAATCCGTTAAACAACTCTTTTGCTATATAAAAAACGAGTATATGTCATTTAATTATACATACCATGAATGATACACAGAACATTTGTTGACTAATTTGTTTTTCTTCCGCGATTGGAAATTCCTGTAAGCGTTTGAGGATCCAGACAAAGGTCACAGACCCTTATCATTCTTTTGCATTTTATGAATTTGTTTTTTCTAATATTTATAGCAATAAAAAGGGAACTTCAAATATATTAATAGGAAATAAAACATTTTTAACTTCATCAAGCCTTTAAGCTGCTCAATTCATCACACATTCTAGATGAGTGGAAATAATTCTTGAACATTCCACACAAGTAAAATTTAGTGTTGTGCAACCTATTCAATTTTTGACGTTCAAGGAAAATCCGAAAATCAGGTATAGTTTCCAGGAATTTAACAGGTTGTTTGTGTTCCCACTTACAATTTCAATTGCAATGCGTTCAAGGTTTACTGTAAATAGAATTGTTATTTCTGTAGGTATATAACATTCTTTTGATGCCTTTGTCACATATTTTCGTGACCAACATAGTTACCTGTCAGTGTTCGTGATTTAGTTGATTTCTAATTGGTATGTCTTAGAATGGAAGTTTGAATACGTTTGGTTTGACTAAATCAAAAGAACAGAAAACTGGAAGAAATTTTAAGGCAAATTAAATGGTAATGATCAGCTTTGTATATAGAATGTTCAAATTATTCTAAAAATTTCATCACAAGTTTATTTTATTGTTCAAATTATTCTAAAAATTTCATCACAAGTTTATTTTATTTGTGCATGGACATATGTGATATGTTACATTTTTAGCCATAACAACAACATGATCACATACTTTTTGCCATTTACAAATTTAAATATAGTCTTTCCCTAGTCCTATAAATATGACGTCGCTTTGAGATATTTTTGCTGCTGGGCAAAGTCAGGCTTGACCGACAAAAACTATAACAAGCCTGTAATGTCTAATATATTGGACTAAGTCTTTCCCATGTAAGATAAATTCCAAACCTAGGGTCAAATTTCAGTACAGTTATTATGTCTTTGATCAGTTACTGGTTTTGTAGCAGTTTCCAGACCTCAACAATGTTTTACCTGTTTATCTTGTTCATGTTGTACTATACCGTCTATTTTTACCAATAAGGCACCTACTTTTTCAAATCAGTTCAATGCAACACAGCAATCAAAATTTAAAAGTATACATTAAGAGCAGTATAATACTTGCCATAATGTCCTGGACACCCAGGATTGTCTCGGAAATAAGGTGTCTGTCTCAGAGATAAGATAAGTTTTATTTCAAATACCTTTATTTCACGTCGGCTTTTATAACCAACATTATATAACATAAAGTATAAGATCAACAAAGATGAAACAGCTGCAATAAAAATTCATCAGGCATGATGTATATATAAAATACATGTAGTCCTTTTTAAATATTTTTTTTATAAAAATGAATCAGATGCTAAAAATTACTTAATTCTACATCGATAATTTACTTAATTCTAAATCACTAGCTTGTATGTTAAATTATGCTTACAATGTCAAGTATCTAAAAACATTTTACTTAAAGTTCAATAATATACTGATTTAACAATTAAAAGTTAAATGAATAGTTAAATAAATAATTAAAAAAAAACAGTTTTTATCTAATTTAAATATGAAAGACTATGGGTTATCAAACAGATACACAAAGACAGAGGGGATTATACATGTAAGTCAACAGTTGAACTCATGTAGCTAGCTTGAGTTGAGCTGGGAAGATAAGCAAAAACAAAACTTCACAAATAAAGCAACATCCATTCCTATCTAGAAACTAAATGATAATATTATAAAATAAGCTGGTTGGAGACATCCCGGTGATGATTTATGTCACGGTAAAAATAAAAATCTAAAATAATCTACTTTCCAGCCAGAAAAACATTTTTATATAATCTTATTGTCAAGTTATGAACGCAATTAACAAACGATAATCCCCATACAGCATTGCAATATACAGTAAATGGTGACACTAATCCTTTGATTGGTAAATATATGTGCCTCTTCCAACTAACAATTATCGGCAGTAATTTTGATCAATTAAAAGATTAATTGTTTACCCCCTGTGGCTTCCTGAGCGAAGGTGTCAACAACTGGCCAGCATGAATTTAATCTGCCTGCTGACTATTATTAGTGGTCAAACACTGAAAATTACCGCTAAATGTGAGGTGATGAAATCTACAGGATTCGGCGAATGTTTCAGGTATATTTACCAAACAACATGACTTATTGTCCTTACTTAACATAGCTTTTAAAGTTTATTCTATTCTATGGCTGATTGAATTTACGAAGCCTTAAAACTTTAAAGAAACAGGTAGAAAAACTGTGATTTTATAACCTATATCTACCAGCATACTGTGAATTGTTCAGAGATTTTGGCAATAATTATTTCAATCAACCTGTCTTACATCACATGATGTTAATCACCTCTGATAGAATGACATGAATAAATATTGAGGGTGCTTCTTTTTAGGAATATCATACTTTCTTGCCTAGAGGAAACAGATGATATTTATTTGTAAAATGCATGAGAAGAATCACTGATTACCAATTTACAGTGCATATTTTGCTATCTTTTTTTTCACAGTGTAATGATCAATATATCAAGTTAGATAACCTACACAAGAAGTTCTTCATAACTTTAAGGCAGGGGAGATGAGCAGACTATTTTGTTGGGGCAGTAACCAATCAGGGCAGCTTGGAATTGGCAATTTAGAACAACAAAAGGTTAGACGAAAGCATCTCAGTATTAAAGGTTCTTGAGAGTGACTGAGAAATACTTTTGTATAGTTGTTAACAATTTGTAGTGTTTTTTTCACAAACATTTTTTTTGAAAAACTGTATGATTTATGATTATAAAGAACATTTTAGGGGACTGGTTTGGCCTGACTTTATCTGATTTATATATACACAGACATTCATGTGTAATATCAATTTGCCTTATATTGTTATGCACACGGTTGTTCATCCATTTGCATAAAGGCCATCTTACTGTAAACTAAACAAAAGAGAAAAAAGAGTCACAATAGAATAAAGGGCCAATGGCCCTCTACTGAATAAAAGAAAGTATCAAAAAAGACAGAAATGTTACTTATAATGAGATGATGTGCAGAATGCAGGACATCCTCAGATTAAGGTTACATTTTGTATGAATTTTAAAATTGTGTGGTCACACTTATTATTTCATTTGATATGTACTTCTTTGACATATATTATGCTATGAATGGACTGTATATATTTAACATGTATTTCTTGTTCTGACAATTTCAATGTACATTGTAACACAATGTTGTTGCAATTATTAGCTCGACTATTCGATAAGAATAAGTAGAGCTATTGCAGTCACCCGAGCGTCGGCGTCGGCGTAACCACTTATGTTAAAGTTTTTGTAATAGTTCAAATATTTTCAAAGTCCATTGACATATGGCTTTGAAACTTTGCACACTTGTTCACCATCATGACCCCAACCTGTAGACAGGAGGAGGTAACTCTACCAAGCATTTTGACAGAATTATGCCCCTTTTTCGACTTAGAATTTACGTTAAAGTTTTTGTAATAGTTCAAATATTTTCAAAGTCCATTGACATATGGCTTTGAAACTTTGCACACTTGTTCACCATCATGACCCCAACCTGTAGACAGGAGGAGGTAACTCTATCAAGTATTTTTGACAGAATTATGCCCCTTTTTCGACTTTAGAATTTACGTTAAAGTTTTTGTAATAGTTCAAATATTTTCAAAGTCCATTGACATATGGCTTTGAAACTTTGCACACTTGTTCACCATCATGACCCCAACCTGTAAACAGGAGGAGGTAACTCTATCAAGCATTTTGACAGAATTATGCCCCTTTTTCGACTTAGAATTTACGTTCAAGTTTTTGTAATAGTTCAAATATTTTTCAAAGTCCATAGACATATGGCTTTGAAACTTTGCACACTTGTTCAACATCATGACCCCAACCTGTAGACAGCAGGAGGTAACTCTATTAAGCATTTTGACAGAATTATGCCCCTTTTTCGACTTAGAATTTACGTTAAAGTTTTTGTAATAGTTCAAATATTTTCAAAGTCCATTGACATATGGCTTTGAAACTTTGCACACTTGTTCAACATCATGACCCCAACCTGTAAACAGGAGGAGGTAACTGTATCAGGCATTTTTTTTACTATCAAGCACTAAGAATAGTCGAGCATGCTGTCCTACCGACAGCTCTTGTTTTTGTAATATTGTAGTTGTATATATTGTAAATTATGTTTCATAGAGGCCAACATGGAAGATTGGGAAACCAAATGTGTAGCCTTGATAAATAAAGCCTTTACTTACTTACTTTACACTACTTTTCAAAAGCTACAAATGTTATATTAATCATGACCCCAGCTCAAAATTGGCCCCCCCAGCGGTAGTCACGTCTTGCTTTATTTAGACTGAGGTATAGGAAAACACATCTCACATGGTTCGTACCGTCTTAATAAGTGCTTAAATTTGAGTCCCTGTCTTAAAAAGTGCTTAAAAAATGTAAAATAGTGCTTAAAAGTCCTTGAATTTGATTACTGTCTGAAAAGTGCTTAAAAAGTGCTTATTTGCTGAAAATATGCTTGAAAATGATTGAATGACATAGTGCCGATAAAAATCAACAGTTAACAAAATAAAAAAAATGATCCAATTTAGTATCAAAATCAATGAAATGTTTGCTCAAGATAACAGTACGTGGTCAATTTGCACTTGTTTTGAACTAATTTGTATTTGATGCACCCTTTGTTGTTCTTCTATAAAACCTTAACTTGGCCAGAAAATGTGTATGATTCAAGAAAAACTTGTGTAAAAACTATCCTTCTTAGGTTGAATATTTTGTTGATATATGTGCAACAAATGTGCTTAAAAATGGGAATACATGCTTAAATAGTGCTTAAATAGTGCTTGAATTTTGGCATTGGATGTCTCTATGAACCCTGTCTCATCTTTTGTGGATAACAACTATGCCTCTATATTTGACATAAAGTGAACATTACATTGTACATGGCAATTGCCTACTGTAGCCCTCTATTAAAGTTTTAAGAATCATTCACCTAGGGTAAAAATGTTCCCACCTTGGAGGTCATAAAGTATCACAAGGAAAACAAACATAAAATATTTTTCAGACATGTTTCTTAATTGGGTGTTCTTGTTCACAAATTAAATTATTAATATTGCTGGGGAAAAAAACAGCGAATAAACTGAAATTTTGCTTACAATTTATTGGTCCAGACCTCCATGACATTATACATAAATCTCTTAAATTCCTGTCATGTGAAAAAACCTCAGTGGAGACCCTTTAATGTTTGTCTTAATTACAAGAAATTATTGAATTATAGAAACAATAAAAAGCATTTGTATTGCAGTGTTCTTTCTTGTTGGGTGGTTCCAGTATTCCTCACTTGAATACTGTTTAATCACCCCTAGGATATGAGGCCTGCTTTTTAGCTCGACTTTTCTATGAAAAGGGGAGCTATCCTACTCGCCCCGGCGTCGGCGTCGGCGTTGGCGTCACACCTTGGTTAAGTTTTTCGTACCACCCCACTTTATTTCAGAAGTATTACAAGTATGGCTTTGAAACTTACCATACTTGTTCACCATCATAACCTCCATCTACAGACAAGAGTACATAACTCTGTCAAGGTTTTTGACAGAATTATGGCCCTTTTTTGACTAAGAAAGTGTATTGAGCTTGGTTAAGTTTTTTGTACCACCTCACTTTATTTCAAAACCATTGGAGGTATTGCTTTGAAACTGACCATACTTGTTTACCATCACGACCTTCATCAACAGACAAGAGGACATAACTCTGTCAAGGTTTTTTTGACAGAATTATGCCCCCTTTTGACTTAGAAAAATACATTGAATATGGTAAAATCCACTTATTGCCTTAACCCTTTGAGATATTGCTTTGAAACTTTTAATGCTATTTCACATCATTACCCCATCTGTACGCAAGAGAAGGTAACTCTGTCAAGGATTTGTTTTAAAAATTAAGGCCTTTTATCGACTTAGAATCTTGGTTAAGTTTTTAGTACCAGTCCACTTTTTGACTGAACTGTTTGAGATATTAATTTGAAAGTTGGAATACTTGTTTACAATCATGATTCCCAAACATGTCCAGGAGAAGGTAATTCTGTCAAAGATTTTATTTGAATTTGTATTGCCTTTTACTGCAAAAACTTTTTTTATTGGCAAGCAATAAAAAAGTCGAGCGCGCTGTCTTACGGACAGCTCTTGTTAAATGTGTCTTTTGACATTATATCTGTGATATGCAGGCTTCATAACCTCAGATCTCCTTTCAAAATTCCATTTTATTTAGTTCCGCCCATTGTTTTCTCGTTTCGGGCACACGCATTTTTTTACTTGGGGACCATATGCCGCTTTTCATGGAATGGCACTAACGTGTCACATTGAAGGTTCCATGATAACCGCCATATGAACACATCTGCAGATGTTTCAAAATTCTAAATTTTACTAGATCGTGTTAAATGTTGAATTCTGCTTAAGCCGGTGCTAGGGGGCGTGGACGGTAGTTTGCACTTGACAGTACTGTCCATGAACAGGCTCAATCAAACCGAGCCTGCAACATTTTCAATTTTGTCACATTGGCCTTTCTTTAGGGATTCTTATTTCACTCTATTTTATCGCCACATCAGCGTTGTTTGTGCCGTGTGGAGGCTGTAAAAAGTCGCCCCGTACATTCAATCAGGGATGTTATATTTCCGATCCTTAGAGATCGTTCAGCACGACATCATTGTTGTGCTTGTGGTATTTTAGTTCTATCAATTCGGCATCTTTCTTGTTGGGTGGTTCCAGTATTCCTCACTTGAATACTGTTAATCACCCTTAGGATGAGAGGCCTGCTTTTTAAATTTGTCTTTTGATGTTATATCTGTGATATGCAGGCTTCATAACCTCAGATCCCCTTTCAAAATTCCATTTTATTTAGTTCAGCCCATTGTTTTCTCGTTTAGGGCACAAGCATTTTTTTACTTTGGGACCATATGCCGCTTTTCATGGAATGGCACTAACGTGTCACATTGAAGGTTCCATGATAACCGCCATATGAACACATCTGCGGATGTTTCAAAATTCTAAATTTTACCAGATCATGTTAAATGTTGAATTCTGCTTAAGCCGGTGCTAGGGGGCGTGGACGGTAGTTTGCACTTGACAGTACCGTCCATGAACAGGCTCAATCAAACCGAGCCTGCACATTTTCAATTTTGTTGCGTTGGCCTTTCTTTAGGGATTCTTATTTCACTCTATTTTATTGTGTGATGCTGCTATGAGTTATTAACTTATTTAAATTATAGCTGTTTTCCTAAGTGATAGATATTATTAATTATTTTGAAATTTTACATCAATTTAAGATATATGGCTACTTAGTGTTATACAAATGTATGATATCATTCTGTTGTATCATTATATACAGTGGATGCAACTGTATTTGTTTTTTTAAGGTCACAGAGCCTATGATAGTGAAGGATCCACCAAAAGGGGATATTGCTCAAATTGTTTGTGGAGAATCACATACTTTGTTTGTAATCAAAGATGGCAGTTTATATTCCTGTGGAAACAATGATTATGGACAACTTGGACATAGTAAAAGAACTTCTATACCAGGTAAGCCTCTAATTTCAAGGTTTAGGAATATATATTGTACAAGAATTTTTAATTTCTGAAAGTAATGGTTAAGAAAATTCCAGATTGATTTTGCCAACTTTGGTAGTTTAAATGAAATATGAATATTTCCTGTTGTAATTGGTTAAAGATAGATATAGGTTTTATGTAACATTTTGGAAGAAACCTACATATAAATTTGGCGAGTGAATATCAGTTATAATTTAGAGTACATGTATGGTTTCAGAACAAATTGATGAATTGAAAGCACAAACAGTTAAATATGCAAGTGTTGGTACCAGTCACAGTGTGTGTTTGACAGAAGCTGGTGAGTTGTTCAGTTGGGGAGATAACTCACACGGTCAACTTGGTAGAGGTCAACTTGAACCAGAGCTTTGCAGGAAACCCAAGTATGAAATGTGATATTTTTACATTATTTAGTAAATATCTACCCTTTATCATAACCATTGATGATTACTTGTTATTTTTCGTAAACAATATAGGCCTGGTACACTGAACTGTATATGCTTGGTAAGAGGAATATTGTATTCTCGGTCTGCTGAACTGTATATGCTTGGTAACATCAACATTATAGGCCATAAACTACATGTTTATTATTTGTCTGGTAAACTGTATCATATATGCAAGGTAAATTGAGCATTCTATGCATGGTAAACTAAACATTTTTGCATTGAAAACTGATCAATTTATGTTAGGTAAACAGAACATTATATGCCTGATAAACTAAATAATATAGGCCTAATGAGGTAAACATTATAGGCTTGGTAAATAGAAAGATACCGGCCAAATGAGGAAAATGAGGAAAATAAAGGTTTAGTGAAGTGTGCATTATATGCCTAGTAAATTAAACATGATAGGCCTAGTGAAGTTAGAATTATGGACCTAGTAAAGTGAACATTATAGGCCTAATAAAGTGAAAATCATAGGGCTAGTATAATGAACATTATAGGCCTAGTAAAGTGAACATCATAGGCCTAGTGAAGTGAACATTATAGGCCTAGTAAAATGAACATTATAGGTCTAGTAAAGTGAATATCATAGGCCTAGTAAAGTGAACATCATAGGCCTAGTGAAGTGAACATTATAGGCCTAGTAAAATGAACATTATAGGCCTAGTAAAGTGAATATCATAGGCTTAGTAAAGTGAATATCTTAGGCCTAGTGAAGTGAACATCATAGGCCTAGTAAAGTGAACATCATAACCTAGTAAAATGGACATTATAGGCCTAGTAAAGTAAACATAGACCTAGTAAAATGTACCTTATAAGCCTAGTAAAATGAACATTATAGGCCTCATAAAGTGAACATCATAGGGCTAGTATAATGAACATTATAGGCCTAGTATAATGAACATTATAGGCCAAGTAAAATGAACATTATAGGCCTAGTAAAGTGAATATCATAGGCCTAGTAAAGTGAACATCTTAGGCCTAGTGAAGTGAACAATATAGGCCTAGTGAAGTGAACATTATAGACCTAGTGAAGTGAACATCATAACCTAGTAAAATGAACATTATAGGCCTAGTAAAGTGAACATCATAGGCCTAGTGAAGTGAACATCATAACCTAGTAAAATGGACATTATAGGCCTAGTAAAGTAAACATAAACCTAGTAAAATATACCTTATAGGCCTAGTTAAATGAACATTATAGGCCTCATAAATGAACATTATAGGCCTAGTAAAATGAACATTATAGGCCTAGTAAAATGGACATTATAGGCCTAGTAAAATGGACATTATAGGCCTAGTAAAATGGACATTATAGGCCTAGTAAAATGGACATTATAGGCCTAGTAAAATGGACATTATAGGGCTAGTAAAATGGACATTATAGGCCTAGTAAAATGGACATTATAGGCCTAGTAAAATGGACATTATAGGCCTAGTAAAATGGACATTATAGGCCTAGTAAAATGGACATTATAGGCCTAGTAAAATGGACATTATAGGCCTAGTAAAATGGACATTATAGGCCTAGTAAAATGGACATTATAGGCCTAGTAAAGTGAACATTATAGGGCTAGTAAAGTGAACATTATAGGGCTAGTAAAGTGAACATTATAGGGCTAGTAAAGTGAACATTATAGGGCTAGTAAAGTGAACATTATAGGGCTAGTAAAGTGAACATTATAGGGCTAGTAAAGTGAACATTATAGGCCTAGTAAATTGAACATTATAGGCCTAGTAAAGTGAACATTATAGGCCTAGTAAAGTGAACATTATAGGCCTAGTAAAATGGACATTATAGGCCTAGTAAAATGGACATTATAGGCCTAGTAAAATGGACATTATAGGGCTAGTAAAATGGACATTATAGGCCTAGTAAAGTGAACATTATAGGGCTAGTAAAATGGACATTATAGGCCTAGTAAAGTAAACATTACATTGTACAAGTCTGTTACACTGTTTAATAGAATATCATATGTATGGTAAAAATAATTTTTGTTCCTTTCTTTAGTATAGTAATTAAGTTACATTTTAATTTACTAGTATTATATATATTATATGTGCATCATTTACCACATGTAAATATAACATTATCATTTAATTACATTTTAATGATAAGAATTTGTTGCTTTTAATAATTGGTATGTATAAATCATGAATTTATCAAGGATAAAACAAACATCAACATCATTCTGTATCGTGCACTTTGATTAAACATGACATTTTGATATTGGTACAATGATTTAAAAGTAGTTATTTTTTATGCTTTGAAATTATCTCATGTAACTAACATATTCCTACCTCAATATTTGTATTTGGGGAATTTCTGCCAGTCTCTTTCCTTTATAACAAGTCTTGTCTAAATACTTAGATTTTTATATTTCCCCATATGATATATCTTTAAGTGACTTTTTTAAGAAAAAGAAAATATGGAAGAAAATATTTCCTGTTGAGATATAATAAGTCAAGTAGGAATAAGAGGGAAGTTGAGTGATGTTATTTATATATGTTTGTTTGGTATTTATAGATTAGGATCCTGGAGGTTAGTCTTCCAATCATAGTAAATTTCCCTGTATATCTACATGTATTTATGTATTACAGTATTTGAATGGGTTAAATAAATGATTTGGTAAGGAGATACAGTTTCACATTGTTATATATAAAGATGTCGGAGATAACATTGGGGTTGTTTGTCTTTGTTAAGTGAAATACATAACAATATTGAAACATTGTATTGTGAAGATTTCATGTATCATATACCGGTATTCACTTGCCTGTACGAAATTTTGGCACGGATTCTGGGCGGAATTGGCACGGAATTGACACGGAATCAGTGATTTCTGGGCGGACCAGGGACGGAAACGCAAATTCCGTGTCATTCCGTCTCACAAGAAAAATATTTTGTTCACTTTTCTGGGCGGAAAACTAGAAAAATTCCGGCTGGAATTTTATTTGGAGCAGAATTTATACTTAAACATTTCATCTTGGACAGAATTTTCAACTTTGAAATTTTCTTGGGAAGGAATGGTCTTCACTATGGGCGGAATTCTATACTTAAACATTTTTCTTGAACAGAATTTCACATATAAGATGTCTAAATCATAATTGTACTCTTGTTTTTGCACTTGCGGACATTGAAATTTTACGAACTGTACTTATTTTTTTTTTTGAAGCATGATACTTGACCAATAATTACAGGTGTATTTTTAGAATAAATATGTTTATTTTTTTAGACATTAAAATAGGCCTTCTTTTTAGATATTATGGCAAATGATATATTATTTGTCAGACTAATTTAGAAAATTTTTTTTTTACTGAAAAACAACTGTAATAATCTTAGTGTAGAACTTGAAAACATTCACCTCCAAAATGCTTAAGTTTATAATATAAAGGTTTTTCATACAGCTTGTATATACATGTACTGTATTATGAATTTATGACATCATCTGAAAGCAACATTGAAATAAGAATGCTGTTTAAATTTGAATATACTGTAGAATATAGGACAGCCACAGGACAAGATAGTGTGCTTGCCATTTTAAATTCTAAGAATTCATGATTTTGTTATAAAAAAATAATAATAAAAAAAATTAAAAAAACAAAAACAGTGCATGAAATAATCTCATATATTATGCCCTTTTAAACTATATAAAATTGATCAACCAATATGCCCAATAATTGCTTTTATTTAGGTAAATAGTTTTATACACAGAGAGTTTACACTACACAGATCAGAGCTCTGATAAAACTCAACTGACCAGCAGTTTCCCACGGATCTATGCATGACTAATTTACTCAACTGGTCATTCCAACAGATCGGACTATTCCATTGAATTATTTTGGAGAGATAACATTATAAATATATAAGCAGAATTTGTCTAGGACATTGCAATTTTCTTTTGTACAAAAATTTGTAATGATTTTTAAATTCTATCTATATATTTATTTGTTACTTGAATATATTTTTTACATTCAATAAATGAAAGTTAAGATGATGAGTAAATTAACCCTGTTTTACATAATGATTGACCTGTCCATGCAGTTATACAGTTGTGAATTTTGAATTCTAAGATATCTGGGTCAGCAAAAAGAGTGCAAATTACAGAGGATGAACTTGATATTTTAACAATTTTGGAGATATAGTTTTGTTCAAGATCTCAAAGTGTTTTAGTATTTGTATGATAAATAAGTGTGATAACATGGGACAAGGAGATGTACAACATAATCTAAGGTAATTATAAACCTTTAGTTACATTAATGCAGAAACAGGTTTTATATCAAACTATCAATGGTAGCAAACTAAAATTTGTAGCAAGAGGTCAATGTTGTTTTTATATTTTCAACTTCGTACATTTGTTTTTTTTCTGATAATTGTTTTAAATCTTTAATACTTGTATAATTTGTAAGATATAAATTATTCAATGATTCTATATAATGAATGTGTATATTGTATAATAAAAGCAAAATTTTAGTAGTAACTGATCTTTTTCATTTCCTGGAAATTAAACAAATTAAATCAATTTGATTAAATAGGAATAAATGGTACAAATTCAGAAGTTTTGTACAGTTGAACAGGGTCATCATAATCATTTATTATTTTACATGTATGTGTTGTGTTTCCAATGGAACAATCTAACATTACATTTTACACTCATATTTGCAGGCTGGGACTTAAGTGCTGACTGTGAGATGCAAGGTATTTCAATAAAGATGTGCAGTATTAATCCTGAAAAGGTATATTTTTAAATCTCAATACTTTACTATTCAACATCTTTCCTTGAAAAATAAATTAAACCAGTAATAAATAGTGTCACAAATAAAGCAGTTAATTAATTCTTATACAGAGCAATTCTAAACACTTGTGCACTGAAATAAGATACTGTGTAAGCTTTAGTATTTTTGAATATGCAAAAGCACAGTTAATATTTAATTTAATACTGTTGAAACATAAAATTTGATGTTATCAAAAAATATGAAATATAACTGCACATAATTATGCAATGAATCATAAATCATTACAACATTTTTGTTTAATTTATTATAAATTTTATTATTAAAGGTGAACACAACCACAAGAAGTTCTAGGAAACACAGGCAGTGGACTTAAAACAGACATCAATTAAAGAAATAGTATTTAAATAATCAGAAACATTTGAAACAAATTTATGATTAAAACATTCACAGCAAAATAATTGCAAAAAACAAAGTGTTGGATTCTAAGAAAACCAGTACCTACCAAAACCTGCAGCTAAAAAAAACTGTGTGTTATAGTGAATGTAAGGTATTCTATTCTGTATTTGGACTAAAGGATATGTATTAAATTTTATGAAAGAAAAATTAATGTGATACATTATTGATAATTTTATCCCAAAAAATGTGATCATGTTAAACTCATAAAAATTCCGCCCCCATGAATTCTGTCCCAGAATTCCGCCCAGAATCCTTTTTGACAATTCCGTTCCGAAATTCCGCCCCAAGATTCCGCTTCAAAATTCCGCCCCAAGATTCCGCTCCAACTCATTTGCATATTTCGTCCCAATTCCGCCCAGAATCCGTCCCGTTTCCGCCTGGAATCCGGCCGGAATCCGTGCCAAAAGCAAATGGTTTAACACTTGTATATTTGGGGGAGAATTTCAATTTCTGGGCGGAATCTGCCATTGAATTCCGCCCCATTTCCGTGCAGAAAATTTCGTACAGGTGTGGCTGCATTCAGCTGCTAACATTTCTTTCTTATTGCCAAAAAGAAAAAGATATCACGTCTCATGTTTATTTTAATATTCTGAAATAAAATCCTTGTATTTAAGTAGTGCAAAATATGTGCTTTATATGTTAGTTATTTTTTTTTTTAGCTCACCTGTCACTTTGTGACAGGGTGAGCTTTTGTGATCGCTTTTTGTCGGGCGTCCGCCTGTCCGTCGTCCGTAAACTTTTACTATAAATAACATCTCCTCATAAACCACTAAGCCAATTTCATCCAAACTTCACAGGAATGTTCCTTTGGTGGTCACCTTTGAAAATTGTTCAAAGACTTTAATTCCATGCAGAACTCTGGTTGCCATGGCAACCAAAAGAAAAAAACTTTAAATATCTTCTTCTAAAAAACCCAAAGAGCTAGAGCTTAGATATTTGGCATGAAACATCTTCTAGTGAGTGTCTACCAAGTTTGTTCAAATAAAAGCCCTGGGGTCAAAATTGGCCCTGCCCCAGGGGGTCATTGATTTTCCCTATATGTATATAGTAAAAACTTAAAAAATCTTCTTTTAAAGAACCCAAAGAGCTAGAGCTAAGATATTTAGCATGAAACATATTCTAATGGGTGTCTTCCAAGTTTGTTCAAATAAAAGCCCTGGGGTCAAAATTGGCCCCGCCCCAGGGGGTCATTGATTTTTCCTATATGCATATAGTAAAAACTTAAAAATCTTTTTTAGCTCGACTATTCAATAAGAATAAGTAGAGCTATTGCAGTCACCCGAGCGTCGGCGTCTGCGTCGGCGTAACCACTTATGTTAAAGTTTTTGTAATAGTTCAAATATTTTCAAAGTCCATTGACATATGGCTTTGAAACTTTGCACACTTGTTCACCATCATGACCCCAACCTGTAGACAGGAGGAGGTAACTCTATCAAGCATTTTGACAGAATTATGCCCCTTTTTCGACTTAGAATTTACGTTAAAGTTTTTGTAATACCTCAAATATTTTCAAAGTTTATTGACATATGGCTTTGAAACTTTGCACACTTGTTCACCATCATTACCCCAACCTGTAAACAGGAGGAGGTAACTGTATCAAGCATTTTTTTTACTATCAAGCACTAAGAATAGTCGAGCGTTGCTGTCCTACCGACAGCTCTTGTTTAAAGAACACAAAGAGCTAGATCTAAGATATTTAGCATGAAACATGTTCTAATGGATGTCTACCAAGTTTGTTCAAATAAGAGCCCTGGGGTCAAAATTGGCCCTGCCCCAAGGGGTCATTGATTTTCCCTATATAAATATAGTAAAAACTTAAAAATCTTCTTTTAAAGAACACAAAGAGCTAGATTTAAGCTATTTGGCATGAAACATGTTCTAATGGATGTCTACCAAGTTTGTTCAAATAAGAGCCCTGGGATCAAAATTGGCCCCGCCCCTTTTCCTTATATGTGTATAGCAAAAACTTAAAAATCTTCCTCGAAAAAAACCTGAATAGCTAGAGTTTATATATTAAGCATGAAACATCTTTAGTAAATGTCTACAAAGATTGTTCAAATAAAAGCCCTGGGATCAAAACTGGCCCTGCCCCAGGGGTGTCATTGTTTTTAAATATACGAGGGTTGTTCGGGAAGTTTTGAGAATTTTGTCATATCTCCTATATTTTTTGTTTCTACGACGTAATATTTTGCACATACTAAGATTAGCATATCACGGAACTATTCCTAAAAATTGAATAGAATCAGACAACAATAGCCGGAAATAGCAGTAACCATAGCAACACTATAACGCCGCACCGGAGCAGTCCGACTCTAAAGAAAGGTATAAAGCGCTACACTAATAATATTTCGTAATTTTGATAACGTAAAAAATGCGCGAAAACGCTGGTCAGCAGCGGAACGTCAGGACATCATTTCCTGAAAATATCATAACGTTATTTAAATTATCAATGGATCAACATTGTTTTAAAGTTGTTGCCCAGAGCCACTGAGTTAACAACATGACGTCGATAGGTGACGTTGAATTGCGAAGTATCGTGAAATTTTGTGTTACTCTGTAAAAGTCTTCCACAGAAACAATGAAAATGATCAATTCTATAGGAAAATACAAGAAATGCAGTCCGGCTACAGTGTATAGATGGCATGCTCGTTTTAAAGGAAGAATCTCGATCGAAGATGATCCTAGATGCGGTCAGCAGTCTTTTTGTTGCATGTTCAATTAAAGACTCGGTAAAAGACATGATAAATTGCGACAGAAGAACGACAGTTAGAGCTATTGCAGATGAACTTTGCGTATCAGTTTCTACTGTACACGGAATACTAATAAGTGGATCAGCCGACACAGGAAATGCATCGAAATTGCAGGTGACTACGTTGAAAAGGTGCGACGATCGATGGACTTTAACGTCGCATAACGTTGCTAATGACTTCGGCGTGCTCCGGGTGTTTGTTATATGGTTATTTACTATTTTTATTATGTTTTAGTTTCTGTGTGTTTGATGATGATATTTTCAGATACTGTACGGTATATATTGAAATAAATGCGTATATATTTATATTTACGCTAACCCGACTACAACGTGTGCTATAAAACAATTCTCAGAACTTCCCGAACAACCCTCGTATGTGTAAAGAAAAAACTAAGAAAACTTCTTTTAAAAAACCCAACGAGCTAGACCTTAGATATTTAGCATGAAACATCTTCTAATGGGTGTATACCAAGTTTGTTCAAATAAAAGCCCTGGGGTTTAAACTGGCCCCGCTCTGGGGGGCCTATATACAGGTGAGCGACATCAGGGCCATCATGGCCCTCTTGTTTAATTTGTAATTTACAAATTTATATGTTAGTTATGTTTATGAGATGCTTGACTGGCAATTAAGAAAAAAGTTTTCTATGTGATGATAATATGTTATGTTTAACATCTTAACTGTATGAAAAGTTGATCTAACAGAATAAGATTTACAAAAACAACAACTACTTTTTCCTCTCCCAGTCAACTTTATAAAGATCATCAACATCACTATCTCTATAGTCTGTAGTAATATGATTTTCAGGAATAGTAGAACATTTTTACAATTAACTTATGATAAGGTAGTCTTACTGTAATGCTTTACCACAAAAGGATTTCTAACATCGGCCAACATCATAATAAATTGGTCATTTCCGGAATGTTATTTTTCTTAATCTAAAGTATTCAATAATTTTTAATCGTTTATAAACTGAATTTAGTATATACCGATAAAGGATGAGTGATTGTAAATAATCTAATGCCCAAGATTTTGAAAAAATAACATTTCGGAAATAACTGATTTGCTACGATATTGGCCGATGTTAGATTTTTTTGGCAAGAAAGCATTACAGTAAGACTTCCTTAAGATGATGTGACCAATTTTACATGTTAGTGAACAGCATGTGTATAGAAAGTCTTATGAGGTGTTATCAGAACCGTTTCACTCTTTTTAGTCTGCAGTATGGTTTTCATGGAACTGCTGACCTGTACATAAAAGAAAATATAGGATAATTATATACCCATGACTTTAAATACTGGAATAGATTTGTACTATCATTTTTTCTATTTGTTGAATAAAGTTTGGCTAAGTGTCTACAAGTTTGTTATGAAACTCAGTTTAAACTTATAACAATCTCATTGGGACCATGACCTTTTCTATATTATATTCAAGGTTTTTGATGGCCAACATAAGGAATTAGTATCTTATGAACATTTTATATATACTTGTATATAGCCAACATTATGTTCTATGTATATTTAAGTTCAGGCAACCCCTGTAGTGTTTGTGTATAATTTATTTGAATTGCAATGTTATTTTACAGACTGATCAAGTTCCCTCGTACTATTGTACAAGTTAGCTGTGGAAGGTATCACAATTTGTTACTCACTGATGGTATGTACTGCAATATGTTCACAACTATTTCAATACCATGAAGTAACAAAGTATCTATTGTTCATCTTTATGGCTATGATAATGTATGCAATGTTTTGACAGACACACAATATTTGACACAATTTGACTAAGATCAGCCCAGTGTGTTTTTGACCTTTATTTTTGTATAGCAATTCACCTGTGTGTGTGTTTGTGTGTGTGTTATATAGATTATATAGTGAACTTAAAAAATCTTCTTGTTAAAAACCACTAGTCCAATTTCCACCAAACTTGGCAGGATTGATCCTTGGGTGAAGGGCTTCCAAACTTGTTCAAAGAATTTCATTCCATGCAGAAATCTGGTTGCCATGGCAACCAAAAGGAATTATAAGAATAAATTTAAAATATCTTCTTGTAAAGACCCAAAAGGCCTAGAGCTTAGATATTTTGCATAAGGCATTGTCTGGTAGACCCTTACCAAGATTGTTCAAATTATAGCCCTGGGGTCAAAATCGGCTCTGCCCTGGGGTCATTTATTTTCACTATATGTACATATAGTAAAAAATTAAAATACCTTCTTGTAAAGACCCAAAAGGCTTAGAGCTTAGATATTTTGCATAAGGCATTGTCTGGTAGACCTCTACCCAGATTGTTCAAATTATAGCCCTGGGGTCAAAATCGGCCCCGCCCTGTGGGTCATTGGTTTTCCTTATATGTATATAGTAAAACTTATAGTAAAAACTTTAACAAAAATTCTTCTAGCAATTGACAAATGCTAGAGGTTAGATATTTTGCATGAAACCTTGTGTAGTAAACCTCTAGCAAGATTGTTCAAATTATAGCCCTGGGGTCAAAATGGCCCCGCCCTGGGGGTTATTGATTTCAATATATACATATAGTAAAAAATCAAAAAATCTTATTGTCTGAATGTACAAGGCTTATAGCTTTAATATTTGTTAAATAATATCATCTATAGGTACTCTACCAAAGTTGTTCAAATTTTGCCTCTAGTGTCAAAAGTAGCCCCACCCCGGGGGCCATAGGTTTTCCTTATATGTATATAGTAAAAACTTAAAAAATCATCTTCTCTAAATTTACAAAGGCTAGAGTTAAGATATTTTGCATGAAACATTGTGTAGTGAACCTCTAGCAAGTTTGTTCAAATTATAGCCCTGGGGTCAAAATTGGCCCCACCCCAGGGGTCATTGATTTTCACTATGCACATATAGTAAAAAATTAAAAAAATTCTCTTGTCTGAAGGTACAAGGCTTAGAGCTTTGATATTTGGTACCGGTATATAATATCATCTATGAGTCCTCTACTAAAGTTGTTTTAATTATGCCCCTAGTGTAAAAATTGCCCTGCCCCAGAGGCAATAGTTGTCCTTATATGTATAAAGTAAAAACTTGAAAAATCTTCTTCTCTGAATCAACAAAGGCTAGAGGTTAAATTATGGCATGAGTTTTTGCTAAGTGAACCTCTACCAAGATTGTTCAAATTATAGCCCTGGGGTAAAAATTGGTTCCGCCCCGGGGGTCATTGATTTTCATTATGTACATATAGTGAAAAAATAAAAAATATTTTTGTCTGAAGGTACAAGGCATAGATCTTTGATGTTTTATATATAATATCATTTATAGGTCCTCTACCAAAGTTGTTAAATTTTTCCCCTGGTGTCAAAATTGCCCTGCCCGGGGGCAGTGATTCTCATTATGTACACAGTAAAAACAGAAAATAAAACAAATGTTTTCTGAATGGGAGAAAGCTACAGCTTAGATATTTGACTTGAAATGTTGTTTGGTGGACCTGTATCAAGATTGTTTTGAATTAAACCCTTGTGTCAAAATTTTGCCTTGCCCAAGGGGACAGTGACCTACTTTCTTGTCCTTTGATGTACAGCAATGAAATTTTGACCATGTGCACAGTTTTAGTTGTAAAATTGAACTTTGATATCAGGTGACCTAGATTTTGATGATGTGACCTACTTTCTTGTCCTTTGATGTACAGCTATGAAATTTGAACCATGCGGTTGCATAACATTTTTCTCAAATGCAATCTTGTTTTCCATTATGTTAAAAAACAAATTTCTATATGTCATAAATCTGTTATTTTATAGGAATTTTCAATTGTTTATACATGGCCCTTTCATTAATGTTACATTCATTGAAGTGAATAGCATTTATGTTTTGCTTGTTTATTAAATTAGCCACTTCAAGATGACTCTATTAGATTATGTTTATATGATATAGTTGAGTCTGAATTTAATTTAACATTTATTCTTTCACTGTATTATTTTGTTATAGATGGACAGATATACAGTTGGGGAGACAACAGATTTGGTCAACTAGGGCTAGGTCACACTATATCACAGAATATTCCACAGTATATAGCTAGCTTGAAAGGAATCCCTGTAGCTCAGGTTGTTTGTGGGGGCTCCCATAGTTTACTGCTGTCAAAATCTGGGGCTATATTTGGCTGGGGAAGAAACTGGTGAGTATTTTGTAAGCATTCTAAAATTATTATTATTATGATAATTATGTGCTGGTAGCTGTGGGGCATCCGTGGCCGAATGGTTAAGGTTGTTGACTTCAAACCACTTGCATCTTACTGCTGTAAGTGCAAGTGTCGTCAAATTTTACATGTTAGAATGCTATCCAGCTAGCTAATAGAATGTAGGAGGTTCTGCTCTGGTGTTTGTTTGTGTAGGAAATAATGTACAGAAGGGCACCTGAGGTCTTACTCCACCAGTAAAGCTTGAAAGTTGCCATTTGACCTATTCTGTGTTGGTACAACGTAAAACCCAACCAAAAAAAAACACACACAAAAAATGACGGTTTTGCATTGATTTTGTTCTTTTTACCTTCTGTTTTGTATGAAAATTGTACAAATATCATATTGAATCAGTATTTTTGTAACACATGCTCCTTAATTTAGTGACAATGATTACGTAAAAATTCTTTTGTTTTCAGTTTTGGTCAACTTGGCTTGAATGATGAATTAGGTAACTTATATAATTTTTTTTTTAATTTTATGTCAAAAATTTTTATGTAGCATGGTTTGCAATGTGCAAAGTTCAGTTGTAGATACAAATGTAAACGTGTAGTTTTTTACATCTTTACAACATATCAACATTTATAAAAAAAAGATATTAATTTATAAATGAGAATAGATTACCAAGAAAATGCCACAGCCATAGAAAAGGACCTGTTGATACCAAATCATGATTATGTACTTACTATGATACATACATCGCACATTCGGATAGTTGTGTCGCCTATACAGGGATTACTTCTTCCTCGTCTGTCTGTCCATCTGTTTGTCCGTCCGTCCGTCACAAAACTCGTCCTAACTTCTCCTCAGATACTACTGGTGAAATTTCTTCCAAACTTAACAGGAACGATCAATACCAAGTCTTGTTGTGCATATTGTCGGCATTTTCTGGTTCTCAGATTTTTGTGAGAGTTATGACCCTTTAATGATTTTAAGTTTTAAAGTTTGTACAGGCTACTCCTCTCATACCACTAATGCAAATTCATTGAACTTTACAAAATTGATCATAGCTGGAGTACTTGCACATATTTCACAGGTTTTCTGGTTGGAGGATTTTTAGTCGAGTTATTGCCCTTGAATAAAAAATGTGTTTTGAAATGTTAATGATTTTTGTGTCTCTTGCTATGCAATAGCTGCAACATGCAATTGGCTATCAGGAGGGGACACATGTCAACATGTCAGCACTGATGGCCCTTGTATTTATTATTTTTGCTCATTGTAAATTTATATTTGAAAAAAAAACAAAAACAAACAACACACACACAAAATAAAGCATTGTAAGGAAATGTTCTGAATCTTGATGTAATAGAAGATTTTGTTGCTTGCCTCATGCACATTTATTATCTTTGAGATTATTGAGTTATGATTTTTCTGAAGGAACAAGATTTTAGAAACACAAGTTTTTACAGCAGGAAATGATATATTTTTGTTCTGTAGATCGACATTTCCCTTGTTTGTGTAAATCACTGCGACATCAACGAGTATGCTATATTGGCTGTGGTGAGGATCACACTTTGGCCCTGACACTGGATGGAGGAGTATTCACCTTTGGTGCAGGGACATTCGGGCAACTTGGACATGGCTCCAAAACACAAGAAATTTTACCAAAGAAGGTTACAGAGTTAATGGGATCTAAAGTTACACAAATAGCTTGTGGGAGGTTAGACCAACAATAGTCTTAAATTGCTCAATTTTTCACTGTTTAATTTTCAAGAAATTGATTGATTGTTAGATTTTATGACAAAAAAAAACAACAAATAATGATGAAAATTGACTGGACTAATCTGTAAAGCATAGGCTTTCAGTTAAAAAAAGATAAAAGCATATGCAACTTTATGTTTTTCAACCCAAAACAAATGTATAAGATACTGTTTATGTCAAGAAGTGTAGTTTTTATGCACCCTGAAGGGTGAGCATATTGTCACAGCCTTGTCCATCCGTCCATTATTTGGTCCGTCCGTCCGTTGTGCCTGTCCAGAACATAACTTAAAAACCCTTGGACATAATTTGTTTAAACTTAACACAGTGGTAGAGGGCATTGAGGGGGAGTGCAGTATCAAAGAACATTATTTTGGAGTTACAGCCCTTTGTTCATTTTGACACTTGGAACTTTGTCCAGGACATAACTCTAAAACTATTAGAGATATGAACAAGAAATTTTGTAGGTAGATAGATCTCATTATAGCCTTTTTTCAATTTTACACTGTGAACTTTGTCCGGGACATTAATGTGAAGCCACAAGAGGTATCAACAAGAAACTAATTTGGTAGATTGATCTCATTGATTAGAAGTCCAGTGCAAAGAACAGTTTCTCTGCCTTGGCTAATTTTGGAATTATTGCACTTTGAACAGGAACATAACTCTGAAACTTCAAGAGGTGCCCTTTTCTGTGTCCAAAACTTATTCGGGAAGCATCACCTGGTTCAAACCGGGCTCTTGTATAATTTATATATATCAAATTTATATATATTTATATATACAGACGGCACTGTTTAGTGTTTGTATCAGACAGTGGAAGGCTGTATGGTTTTGGATCTGAAGCCAACGGTCAACTTTGTACAAATAGTGTGGAAGTGAAATCTCTGCCAGTGGCTATAAAAGGACAGTTTGTGGCATTCAATAATGCTGGTAGATCAAACAATTCAGGAAATAGTTCATCATTTGTGATAAATATTGTAGCTGCTGGAGGAGATTACTGTTTTCTGTGGGCGGTCTCAGAACAGGTATCAACTTCTTACTATAAAGTACAAGTGATCATTCATAGCTAATACATCTAAAACATGACAAGATAGGAAATGGTTAAGGCTGTTGAGGTAGAGACGTTAAGTCACTTTTCCTTTACCTCAGTGCTGTGGACTGAATTCTTAAATTCTTCTTGAGGATTTCTATGAGGCTAACATAGGGGTGGTTGTTGGTTTATATTGGATGCCTTCTTATGTCTAAAATTAAAACGTGAACAATACCACATGAAAGGTCACCTGAGATCTTTCTCAATCAGTAAAACTGGAAAGTCATATGACCTGAATTTGTCTGTGTGAGTAGAAACCAAAGAAAACTGCTACCTATTTTGTTACCTATTTTAAAACAGTTAGTTATTCAGGTGTTAAAGTAAACCTGTTAATTTACAATGTTTAAATAAAAGTCATATTGGTGGAGGTGAAAATAACAGATTGCTGCCCAAACAACCTGCTTTTCTACATACTAGTATTAATAAACTACTAACACCTAGCAACAGAAAGAGAGCATAGTAAAGGAAACTCCTGCGAATTTGACTGTTTAAGACAGACATCCTTTACTGTACATATATAAAATTTGTACATGACCTCAGTAAAGTCCATAACAATATTATGAATTTATTTCACAGATCAAGATTTCTCCACTAGATCACAGACTGTGGAGCTCTATGTTTTCTATAAAAATATTATCTGTGGATATGACTGAGAGAATTTCCAAATTGACATCAAGTGATAGTGTACCTGTAGAGTTTGAGGAGTAAGTCATGTTTACTTTAACTGTTGAAGTATTTTAAAGATGTTATGTTAACAAAAGATTATCAATAGATTATAATATTATAACATTATACTTTTTTCAGGTCCTAACCTTTGTATGCATGATGGGATTTTAAAATAAATTGGTGCACATTACCAATATAGAACTCTTTTTCTAGGGAATTATAAAACAAAACTTGTATGAATAAAATATTAATTGTTTTTCAATTTTATATTATTATGTAAGTCCAAAAATAGTAATTAACAAATTCATGGACCTTTTAGTGAAAATGAGTTGAATAATATTACCTTTAATAGCAAATTATCTTGAAAATGATCATTTTTGTTATGTCAACTTATTTGTATAATTTCAGGGAAGTCATTAGAGTATTTTCATCAGCTTCATGTTTAAACTCTTCCTTCTTATTGAAGTAAGTATTGTCTGAATTGTAAACACTTTACTTTGTTCAATGGATACAATGTGTTACTATTTTAATGTCACAGTATGAGAATGTTTTTTATAGATACAAGGTTAATGGTTTAGAATAAAGTTGTTTTCATTGGCAAAACTCACCTATCCAAGACCCAACAATAAATCTAATTGCCAATTAAGCTGTTTTCTATGTCCATATTTTCTATGACTATATTTAGTAATAAGTTTGGCTATTTAGAAAATTGATGAAAAGTCTCATAGATTCAGCATTTGACATACTACTTATGTATAAAGGACAACATTATTGCATGTTTGTAACCATCACAATATTAGACTGGTTTTGTATTTTAATCTTTCCATTGTCAGACAAATTAATTTAAAGGTGTTATCCTAAGATTAAGCTGCTCACAGTATGTACTCAGACTGCTCTACTTTGTGGGCATGTACAGGGTGTTTCATAATATCTGTCCTTATTAGAAAGTTACATATTTGGTATATTTGTTTATCTATGATATCAAATCATATATCATTTTAAAGGCTAAAGACATACTGTACATAGAGTGCAAAGTTCTATACCAGTCATGTTAGCCTATTGGTGTTAGGATTCAGGTGTGACCAGTAATAACTGATACAGTTATAATTATACAGGGACAATGAGCATTATGGTAGTAGTAGTAAGAGGCATGGAGTAGATCTGGAACTAGTTAGGAGCAAGTTTGATAAGATGAGTGATACATCTAACGTTCATATCATACAAAAGGTATTGTTTACATACATATATGTTAAATTAGCCGCGTCATGACATAACCAAAATAGTGGGTTTGCGACCAGCCTGGATCCAGACCAGCTTACGCATCCACCCAGTCTGATCAGGATCCATGCTGTTGGCGTACCAACCCTATTACAAGTAGAGAAACTGATAGCGAACAGCATGGATCCTGATCAGACTGCACATTTGCGCAGGCTGGTCTGGATCCATGCTGGTCGCAAACGCACTATGTTGGTTTTGTCGTGACATGGCTCATTAATGGTATTTGATTTTACCCTGAACCAGCTGATTGTCATAAATGGACTCATCCAGCTCCTATATTTGGAACTGTCCATTATCAGTATTGGGGATATCAAGAGGAACTTTTGAATTTTGTCAGCAAACAGTACAGAGCCTGGTCAGACTGCATAGATGTGTTAGCTGGCTGGGGTTTATACTGGTGGCATATGGTAATGCTCCAGCAGATTGAAGGTTAAAGTAAAGAATGTATAAGGCTGTATTTATACCCCCACCACAAAATGTGGGTGGGGGGGCTATAATGGATTCGCTTTGTCGCGTCCGTCAGTCGGTCCGTCGTCCGTCTCCATTTTTGTGTCTGCTCTATAAATCCTATACCAATTGAAGGATTTTCTTCAAACTTGGCTCAAATGTTCACCTCAACAAGGGGATGTGCAGAACTCATGTTGCCCATGTGTCAGCTCAAGGTCAAGGTCACAATTGAAGGTCAAATATCAAACAATCATATATTAGACAGTATGTCATGTCCGCTCTGTAAGTCCTACACTAATTGAAAGATTTTCTTCAAACTTGGCTCAAATATTCACCTCAACAAGGGGATGTGCAGAACTCATGTTGCCCATGTGTCAGCTCAAGGTCAAGGTCACAATTGAAGGTCAAATATCAAACAATCAAATATAAGACAGTATGTCGTGTCTGCTCTGTAAGTCCTACACAAATTGAAAGATTTTCTTCAAACTTGGCTCAAATGTTCATCTCAACAAGGGGATGTGCAGAACCCATGTTGCCCATGTGTCAGCTCAAGGTCAAGGTCACAATTGAAGGTCAAATATCAAACAATCAAATATTAGACAGTTGAAGGTCAAATAACAAACAATCAAATATTAGACAGTATGTTGTGTCCGCTCTGTAAGTCCTACAGTAATTGAAAGATTTTCTTCAATCTTGGCTCAAATTTTCACCTCAACAAGGTAATGTGCAGAACCCATGTTACCATTTTGCCGGCTTAAGGTCAAGGTCACACTTGGGGGTCAAAAATTGACTTGGAAAATATTCTTAAATTTTAACATGTATTTTAATATTTCTGAAACTAGCACAGTTATTTCCTTAAAACTTGAAATATATATAAAGTTTCACAATTAAGATATGCTGGTCAAGTTTCATAACTCTGTATTGCATTTTAACAAAGTTATGCCCCTTTTTAAGTCTTCAAATTTACATACAATTAAATATTAGACAATATGTCGTGTCTGCTCTTTAAATCCTATACTAATGGAAGAAGTTTCTTCGAACTTTACTCAAATGTTCACCCCAATTGGGCAATGTGCAGGACCCATCTTACTCTTGTGCCAGATTAAGGTCAAGGCCACACTTGAAGGTCAAAAATTGACTTAGAAATGTTAAGTACATTGGGAAAATGAAAGGTTATTTGTAACTGTTTCGAACATGATTGACAATATATATATTTATACTATTACCTGTACAATTAGTCTTCTTTTCACCAGAGATAATTTCTTTTTATGTATATGTATTTGTGCCCCTAAAGTTATTCCCTTAACCACCTTTCCAAGTTGTCTTCTGTCAAGGACATTGGTGGGGGTATGAATCGCATTCAGCGATAGTTCTAGTTATATAAGGCTTGACATTTGCGATATGAGTGTGTCAGGTCTAGTAGAATACAAGATAAATATTTTACTTTATTTTTTATCACTTAAAATCTCATAAGTATAAATTTCAAAGACATTTTTAGCTAAAACTTTCTGCATATACATACAGTCAATATATGTTCATTCGGACACATAGGGCCGGAGCAAATTTGTGATTATAGTTCACACCATCTGAGGATATCCGCTTCCATAGTCAAGTACTTGTGCATATTTTTGCTTGAATGATTTTTTGCCGAGTTATGACACTTGAATAAAAAAAGGGTGTCGATAAAGTTTGTAAATATGAGAAAGTATTTGTTGTCTTGAACACTCTTTTTAAAGTAAAAATGCCTAGGTCATGGATCCTCTACTGGGCCTGCTGGGCGGGGTAGGGAGCATTTGTCTGTTTCCAACAACAAGTCTTGGTTAATTGTTAAGTTGTACTTTTATGCCATTGGATTAAATAAGTTAGCTTGCATTTTGAATTTTTATTGAAGACAATATTGTAAGTTTTCAGTAAAAAATATGGTAAATTCTTTATGTTACTTTATGAAGTACACAAAATTGTTTTTTGAAGTATCAATCAGCATCATACCTGGAGTATGTCATGTGAATCAGATTTAAAGCTTAAATTAAAGTTGAATAGTTTTCTGTTTATAATAAGAATAAAATTGAAATGAAATTTGTTTTATCCTGCAGATTTTACTTAGTTTAAGTGGAACATTGTATCCAAGTCTTCCAAAATCGCCGCCAGATGTTGAAGCCCTGCGTTTATATTTGATACTGCCTCATCTCCATATGTTTGAGCAGCCAAAATACTACAACACTTTGATAGAGCCATTTGGTAACTCCATCATCAGTCTTGATAAACAAGCTTCTAGAGTTCTTGGTAAGTAACAGTACATGTATATTGCAAGGTTTGACTGATCCTCTGTCTTCATCAGAATTACAGGGTTGAATGGTTCTGTGTGAAAATCCGAGTTAGAGTGTGATTTTTTTTTAACATTCTTTATTATGATTTGAATATTTTATTTGTATAAGTTTCACTATATAATGCAACTATATATATTACAATGCTGGATTATATGACCTACATCTAGAACACAGAATTGCTATTCTCATTTGTTGTTTTTCTGCTCCCAAAAAATTTAGATCGAGCATATACAAGTAGTACTGTTTATTTCCCTCCATCCTTCTGTCTGTCCCTATGATTTGTCATAGCTTTTTCATTTATTGGTGGACATCTTAGATATTTTATTGTGTTGATTGACATGGTTTTTTTGTATTCTTCTTTGATTGAGTTTAAATCGCTGGAGCTAAAAATAGTTTCCCTGCTTGCCATTATAGTATTAATGAAAGTGACTTTTGAGATCATCCATTTGTGTAACAGATATTTGTCTTTGAAGATATTAGGCAAAAATAAGTGTAATTTTGTGGCAATCATTAGTATTTATTGATGAGCAAGGTTTATCATTTGAATAAACTTCCTGCCAGGTGTAAATAATATTTAATTCGTACCTGTTACTCTATAGAAGCTGACTTTTGTTATAAGAAATAAAAGACTTGATTCAAATTCATTGTAAGGGGAAAGGTCATGGGTGTTTTTTATAATCATGAATTTAGAGAACAGTAGACAGAAGGGAAGAATGTTTATTGTCCCAATCGCAAACATTGTATATTGTGCACATTGTAAGTCTTTGTGTGTTTATTCTTATTAAAATTTTGAATATCTCAAATTTTGTTTCAGATTTGTGGTGGGGAAGTTTTACATCTCCATTTTTTCTCAGGCTTGTTTATGTGAGTATATAGAGGATATTTGTTTGTTTTGCATGTAAGATTGAAATATAATTTCACTGAGTGAACACCAGATGCAATATTTTCACGAGTGGCACAGCCACGAGTGAAAATATAATAGCTGGTGTTCACGAATGAAATATATTTCAATCTTATATGTAAAACAAATAAATTTTCTTTTTATTTCATGCCTTTTAAGTGATTTAAAATATTTTTACTGATTTTGCAGCGTAACGTCGCGCATTCTCCTTTGTGACGTCATCACATCATGACGTCACATCATCAACTTTGAAATATAGTTCTGTTAAATTTCTCTAATTTTGTTACATTCATAACATGATGTATGGTGACATTGACTTTCTTTTCCTAAAGAAGCAAAATTTACGTATGACGGCATTTATTTCTGCCTGTTATTCCATTGCATTCACATATAGTCCGTCTACAGTGAAAATTATATTTTATAAATTTCACTAGTGGTTTATCAGAATATAATCATCTGATATATTACAATAAAACACTGGAAAGCATGCAATAATGTGTGTTTATCATATTACATTTTCCCAACGCAATGCTGAATTATTCTTGTTTTCCTTATTCCATAGACACCTACCTTTACATAATCACTTTATCTGTACTTAACATAATGGTTACTTATTTTTAGGTAAAGGTCGTTTTGACATTTCTTGGGTTTTTTTTTATACTTTTGACCAAAGCTTTGTCAAATATGAACCAGGTATTTGTTACAAAAAGTAATATCTAAACTTATCATGAAGCAGCATTTCAACACTGTTTAAAATTTTGTAATAAACTTGAATATTCTTGACAAATGACATATTGGTAGTTTTGTTTTTCAATCTTTTGTTATTGTTTATTAAAATCTTGCAAATACTAAAATGAAATTATGTTCACTTCATTTGCTGAAATATTGTGTAGTGCCAACATTTGTATAAGCTGTATTGGAATGGTAATTATTATGCCCATTGTTCTTGAATCACAATAATAACTTGTACACCAGTGTTTGTAATTTTATATCCTATATTATTATATAATTCTTCTGTGTAATGTTTTCACAGATCTTCAAAGAAACTGTGATATATATACTTCAGCTGCCTGACCCACAACAATTACAAGAGGTATGTGTTTAATATAGAATCACAAATAAATATTTACACAATTTTTTCTCCCTTCAAATCAATATCTTTTTGTTATACTTTATGTATATTTAAATGGATGACTGTCTAATGGAAACAAAATAAAAAATAGGAATATAAAATCAGATCACTGAATAAGAATTAAGAGGGGCGTCAGTTGCTGAGTGGTTAAGGTCTTGACTTCAAACCATTTGCCCATCACCTCTGTGGGTTATATATCTCCAGGGACATGGATAGTTTTTTTATAAGACAGCTATCTGGCTAACTAATGGAAAGTTGGTAGATCTACTCAGGTGCCTGTTCATGCCTGTAAAGCTGGAAAGTCACATGTGATCTTTACAGTGGTAGTGCCAGGAGAAAGTTGAAACCCAACCAAAAACAAAAAGTAAATAATGATTTTAAAGAATATCAAATATAAATTAACTTTTGGACACTATTTTGAAGTGAAGTTTGTATACAAAAATAATCATGCATTTAATGCTCGGATATATAGGCTTAGATAAAAAGGATAAATATCATCCATGTACTGTTTATATTAACAGATGGAAACTCGGTTCAAAGCTTTGTTTATATCATTGGAAGTACTGAAGAAGTTAAACAATGTGAATGAACAGAATGGTCAGATAATTCCTTACAATAAATTCTATATCAATGACCTTAAAGACAAGGTGAACTTGAAAGGAGATTATGTCAACTGGGTACAGACACAGAGCCATGTTAAATTTGCACCTGGGGTAAGTGAACATATTATTCTGACAGACATGTATGATGACTGTCCTTTGATTATGAATACTTAAAACATTCTTGCATATATTTGATTCTGGTATTCTATACCATTCTCAGTTAAAGGTGTAAGTTTCTTTTAGAGAACAAAAATGTTTGGCAGTGTGGACAAGTGGTTTACACCTAAAACTTGATGACTTTCTTGGTTCAAATCTTGTTTGAGGCAAGCCGTTGTTTCCTTTCAGAGTACTGGTTGGTTCCAAGAATGGATTACAGAGTGTATTAACTTGTATCTTCCTACACAGTGAAACTAAAATAAATTATATATGCACTAAATCTAGAAGTAATGCAGACATCTACTTAGAGTTAATCTATACCATTTTGTTCTGTATAATAATGTACATTGTACAAATAAATTTTGACACAATTAAAAACTTATTATTAATTAAATGATAAATATAAGAATAGGCATAATCTTGACAGAAGATTTTCAAAACTTTATTTTAAGGATGAAAATATGGGTGACAGTCTTAAAGGACTTACTTTATCATAGATTTTAGAATTTTGAATTTATTTTTTTCTACTTAAATAATAATAGTGAGGATATTGCCTTGTTGATTGACTGGTGTATTGCTTGTTTTCAGCAAAGACTGCTATTTTGTAATTATCCATTCACATTTGATGCTGCTGCTAAAAGTTTGTTGCTGCAGACAGATGCTCTCTTACAAATGCAGGTAAATAATAGATTGAATGAGATTCACAAAGTATAAAAAGATATGATTTGTATTAACAGAAATTGTTTAACTGAACATATTTCTTAAAAAATTGACTTATGTGACTTAAAGCGTTAGAAAGAATACCTTGGATTTTCTTACAAATTTTTGTAGATGGATTCTCTGAGTTAGTGTGATGCTTAAATGATTTGCTATTGTTATTTTGAGTTGAAGTTTTTAATATCACTGTTTGTAGTCTGCCATTGAAGAAGTGCGGCGAAGAAATATTCAATGTTTATTCCTACCTATTGATCCAGAGAACCCTTGTTTGGTGTTCTGTGTTTCACGGACAAACATTGTACATGATACCTTACAGCAGTTGATGAATAAAGGAAGTGCTGACCTCAAGAAACCTTTAAAGGTTTGATTTATACTTTTATAATCACAATTACATTTGGTTTCAACACTAATGTGAATTTTTTGATTTTACAGATAAGTAAGTAAGTAAGTAAGTAACGACTTTATTTAATGAGGCAACACAGTTGGGCAAGCCCAGTCTTCCCTGTGAGCCTCAACAATGTACAAAACAATTTATAAAATAAAATACATCAATAAGAGAATAAATAACTACATAAGTTGATTTCATTATTATAAGATTGTCTTTAAAGTAATAATTGTCAGTACATATTGTAAGAACATGAAATATTGTCATCTTTTATGTATAAGTGTTATGTATTAGTCATTATTTTTGGCTTTCTGATTTAGTTCTAGGTGACATTAAATTTTATACCAAGTAAATTATTTCATTTTCAAATATATAACAATAATGAAGAAATAAATGTAATTTTGTATGATAATTTTGATGATGATGATAATGATGATGAAGTTTATGGTAAAAATGATGATGATGATGATATTGAAAACGATGAAGATGAGAATGATTGATAACATTGTACATGTAAGTTCTACAAATCAGATAACATTTTCTGGTGATGAGGAGACAATAGATGCTGGTGGTGTTACCAAGGTTTGTACACAAGTAGTGTTGATTTGTTACTATCATGTCTGCTTTATCTATGTAGTGTAGAGCAGAAAGTTTGTTATAACACTGAAACGTCTTACAGAATAGTAACAACATTTGACGAACATCAAATATATACATATTATTTGTTAATTTTAAATCTTGAGGAGCTGTTGAAACAAGCTTTCTGTTTCTAACGACAAGATTCTTCTATTACTGAAATAATCAGGGCTGATCATTTGCATTCTGACACTGTGTGGACAACTAGAAGTTATTATAATAATTTTTGTTTTCCTTTTCCTTAAAAATTTTCAATTTACTGCTTCTCATTTTCTTCCCGTTAGGGGTCATGTTTTATTATCCACTGGAATTGATAGTAGATTGGGAAGATATTGTGTATATTGCCTTTGATCTGTTTGTCCATTCATCTATTTGTCACAAAGTTTAACCTTGACCTTAGTGCTGAAGTCCTTCCACCTTGAACTTAACATTGAAGTCCTTCACCTACAAACCAAAATCTTTACAGGTACACGCAGCTTGAGGTTTACCCACTAAACCAACAATTGGGTCACTGGGTCAAAGTCTTAAGGTTGAACACCCCAGACATGGTTGAATGTTCATTCAAACATAGTCCTGTTACATTTATATAATTTAATTTGTCCATCATATATAAGTTCTCATGGTTTTGAAGCTTACTAACCATCTGTAGTTTTTTCTCCAGTTTAACTAATAGCGATGGTCTGACAACTGACTGAATTTAATAAACTAATATATCAGAATTAATTTGATAATCATTCAGTGCAGTCTGATTAGTCTAAGCTGCTCTATTTTAATAGCACATTGAAAACAAATCAGACCTAGCACTTCCAAATTCAAAGCTAAAAAACAGAATAATCGTAACAAATGCCATAGCTAAAAAACTTAATTATCCTTACAAGTTCAACATGTAAGGGTTAAACTATTCTAGAATTAGGGAGAGATGGCAAAGTGGCTTATGTGGCTGCCTCAGAATCAAGGGATCATAGGTTCAAGGCCTTCCTTACTTTTAGCCTCAGCAAGGTTTTCTCATGTGGCAAAAGTGCAAGTAAGTTCCAGAAAGCACAGTGTTTCTATTAATTACTAAGTTTCATTGCAACTGTGCAAAAAATGAATTTATGTACATCATGTTGTACATATAAACTTCATTATTCCTAGAGGTAACTTAAATTGGAATTTTACTCTCTTTGTCCACACAGTGACATTTTCATCCACTCATATTGTCATGAACCTCTTTTATACTCACATTGATCACATTGACATTGGTGTGTAAGGATATTGGGATGTTTGTTTTCAGGTGGTATTTGATGGGGAGGAAGCACAAGATGAGGGTGGTGTAAGAAAGGTGGGCAACTTATTTCTAAATTAAGAAAGCATGTTTCTGTAGGTTTACCTATCTAAAAGATTTTTCATAGAGGATTCTGTCTCTACAAAGATAACACAAAAACAAACTCAAGTAAGGTAGAATGATGTTTGCTGATGTGGTGGTGGTAGTGGTTGTTGTTTACCCACCAGGTCATGCCAGTAAGACACACTGAATGGATTGTTTGATGATGTTTTCACAACAAAGGTTTTATATGTTTGAGCTCTTTAGTATGATACTACTGTATCTGTTGGTGAATAAAGATGCAGGCAAATGACAGTTGGTTATCACAAGTTAAAGATGTCAGTCATTTCATCATTTTCCTATCTATTTCCAGTCTTTGCTTATCTGCCAGTCATATTCATAAATGCCATCCTTCATTTGAACTATATCCCTAACTCTTGATTATTTGCTTTGCATATGTGAGAAAATAATTAATTAATGAAATTTCTTTAAACTTTATTGTTAGGTTATTTTGATTATTTATTTCATAAATCTGTTTCTAGTATTATCATCTTACAAAAAATAATACCGTATCAATTGTGAAAACATTGCTGTATAATATTGCACAGTTTTAGTTCAGATGAATTGTTGTTCAATCAATTACTAACCATCTGAACAACAAACTTTGAAATATTATATGATAATGCAAGGGGAAAATATCACATGTTTCCATTCTGATATGCTTGATGTATATTTGTTGAACTTGATAAAGTATAACAGTATTGTACCTGATGTTAGTTGTGTTAATTCACATCACACATACATAATAGTATTTTTACTCAATCAAGAGCTTTGTCTTTATGTAATATGGAAATAATGGAAACACTGTCAGCTTGTGGAGTAAATAAGTTTTTGTTCAGTTATAAAAATGATAATGGCAAACAAATTGTGGAAATAGCATTGATGATATTATATTGCTCACTTTTACAGGAATTCTTTCTGTTACTACTGAGAGAGCTATTAGATCCAAAATATGGAATGTTCAAGTTTTATGAAGAATCTAGAATGCAGTGGTTCTCCCCTTTTGTAAGTATTTTGAAAAATTCTTGAACAAGGCTCATGGCTTGATATTTTTCCAAAATTACAAATCCTTACACTTCATAAGACATCTTCTTGTGTATTGGCTGAATTAGGAAGAAAGTAGACTGGCAAGAAACAATGGAAAATATGTTTTACTGACTGAAAAATAACTTTTTAGAGTGAAAATACAGAAAATCAAAATACCAATTCTGTATTATCAATATTTCTCAATATTTTATTTATAAGTATATGATAAAAATGTTACATTGTAAAGATAGTTTTAATGAATTACCATGCTATCAGTGTAAAGTAAAATCACCCAAAATGTCCATACAATGTTAACTAGATTTTATCAAATTGGTTGTTTAATTTTAAAGGGAGACACAGACAAAATTTTGATTTCTTTATTTTTGAATTTTCTTTCATTGTTCTGTAAATGTCCTCAAACTGAATACACTAAACAGTCAAAGGAACAAAACTTTTCTTCAAATAAAGAATAAAATGGTGTTTTCCTAACCTGACCCGCGTGGGTCAGGTTAGAGCGCTAAGATTTCACAATAGTTGTCACTGTGTACTCTGGAAATGTTAAAGAACATGTCAAATAAATAACTTAGACTTGTTTCAATCATTCAATATCCGCAATACCTGTTATTGTAACTTCCAGGGTTTGTTGAAATCACATGACTTGTTTTTAAACTATTCGGTGATTCTGTTGGCGTCTAAATTTCGTTTAACATATATAGATATATTTAAGCTTCAAACCCAAAATATACAGAATTTATACAGAAATTCATGCTGGGACTTTAAGAAATGTCATTTTAGAGTGATTTGAGTACAGAAGATCATTTTTATATTTTTGTCATTATTTTGCCTGAGTATCCCTTTAAGTTATTTCTATCAAAAATCTTTTAATATTACATTGGACAGTTCTAATAACAAACAGAACTTGCTGTTTATAAAGAGTTACTGGTGTAAGGGCTAAAAGCATTAGTTTGTAATGCAATAAGCCTTTGTCATGATTGGACAGAATATTATACACCTTTGCCATAAGTTTAGGGCCAGATCAGTTTGCCCATCAATGCCGTCTGGCTAGTCTCTTTACTGGTGGTAGTTCAAATTTATATTTTGATTTTAAAATCCCTTAATTTTCAAATGGAATGTGCTAAACTCAAGTCAGGGCAAATTCATTTCACAAATTTAGCAGGTTTTTATGAGTTAAGATATTTATGGGGAGGCTGAAGTTTTAAATTAAAATGTGTTGCCCAATCATGTTGAAAATATTACCAGCAGAAATAGATGATATCTAGTAAGGTACCTAGAAACTTGTGTTAGTTTCCTTGCAAGAGTGGTAGCAAAAATACTGTAAATATTGTATTCTTTATATGAGAAAGAAGCATTTTCATTTCTATATAAGCACCTGAAATGAATCAACATATAACTACTATTTCTGAAATATAAATTATATTTAATTAGTTTTTAATAAGACTGTAATAAAAAAAGGACACTGCCCCTCAAAGAAAAATTCTTTAAAATCATGCAGTTTTCCTCCAAAATTGAATGAGCATAGAGTTTTATTTCTTCCCCTTTTGTAAGTTTATCCTATAATTTCCCCCCAAGATTAAGGTTTGCTTCCCCAATCTGTGGAAGAAAGCCATGAATTGTACATATAAGAGAGTTACAGGTAATGATTGCTTTATTTCAGGCATTTGAGGATCATCAGATGTACTGTTTGATTGGAGTTTTATGTGGTCTAGCTATATATAACTCTGTCATTATACAACTTAGCTTTCCTTTAGTTCTCTTCAAAAAACTTTTAAATAGGTAAGTTTGGCTTATATAATATACATGTATATCATATTCAATTTTCACCCCAGCTGGCGGGCATCAACTTTTGGTTTCCGCGCAATAACTTGAGTTTTCTTTGGCCTATTGACATTAAACTTGGTTTATTGGTAGCTTATATCAAAAGGCAGCTTGGGATTGCTACCAAGATGTCTGTGCTTAAGGTCAAGGTCACTGTTGCTAAAAATAGGAAATTAGTTTCCGCTCAATAACTTGACTTTGCTTAGGCTTACTGACACCAAACTTAGTGTATGGGTAGCTTATATCAAGAGGCAGCTTGGGGTTGCAACCAGGTGTCTGTGATCAAGGTAAAGGTCACTGTTGCTAAAAATAGAAATTCAGTGTCCACTCAATAACTTGAGTTTGCTTAGGCCTATTGACACCAAACTTGGTGTATGTTTAGTAAGTATATCAAGTGGCAGCTTGGGATTGCTACGGAGGTGTCTGTGATCAAGGTCACTGTTACTAAAAATAGAAATGCACTTTCCAATCAATAACTTGAGTTTGCTTTGACCTATTGACACCAAACTTGCTGTGTGGGTAAATTATATTCAGATGCAGCTTGGGATTGCTATTTAGATGTCTGGCAGCAAGGTCAAGGTCACTTGTTTACAATAGAATCTTCAGCTTCTACTCAATAACTTCAGTATACTTTGACCTATTGATACTTAACTTGGCATGTGTGTAGCTAACATGAATATGAACCTTGTGTTGCTTCTCAGATATCTGGTATATTTTTATTTTGAACTATTGAAACCAACTTTCTGTGTTGGTACAAATAACAGCATTATTTTTTACTTCACTGCCATACTTCATTCCTAATTCCTGTCACATCAAAACTTGGTCATTGAAAACCTGGTTTTTGTCACATTGCTGTTTGTTTGTTTCTAAAGAACTGGAATTTACAATTGAGGATAATTTTTTCTTTATTTTGTATCACAATGGTTATAGTTAAGATTTATACTTTGTGAAAGTATTTAATGCAATGTAAATTATAGAATCTGTTGAGGATTTAAAGAATGCTGAGATATAGTCCAGATAAAAATAACTACATGTATAGGGTATTAAAGGGACATGTACCTCAGAAATATTATATATGGAAGAGCAAGATATTTTAATGAATTAAATGCTGTTAAAGTACAAGTTTCACTAAGTGTCTTGTATGTTTATTAGTCCCCTACCGGTTTACCGGAGGGGACTTTAGGTTTACCCTCCGTCCGTCTGTCTGTTTGTCCGTCTGTCTGTCAGTCCGTCCGTCCACAAAACTGGATCCCGCGATAACTTGAAAAGTGCTGAAAATATTTTTATGAAACTTGATATATGGATAGATGGCAGTATGGAGATTATGCACGTCTTTTTTTTCTTCCTATGTTGAAAATTCTGGTTGCTATGGCAACAAATATGCTTAAAATATGGCAAATTTTGCACATAAACTGGATCCAGTGATAACGTAAAAAGTACTGGAAATATTTTTATGAAACTTGAAATATGGGTAGATGGCAGTCTGGAGATTATGCACGTCCTTTTCTTTTCTTCCTATGTTGAAAATTCTGGTTGCTATGGCAACAAATAGACTGAAAATATGGCAAAATTTACAAATAAACTGGATCCTGTGTTAACGCAAAAAGTATTAGAAATATTTTTATGAAACTTGTAATATGGGTAGATGGCAGTCTGGAGATTATGCACGTTTTTTTCTTTTCTTCTTATGTTGAAAATTCTGGTTGCTATGGCAACACATAGACTGAAAATATGGCAAATTTTACACATACATTGAATCCAGTGATAACTCAAAAAGTACTGGAAATATTTTTATGAAACTTGACATATGGGTAGGTGGCAGTCTTGAGATTATGCATATCTTATCTGTTCTCCCTATTTTGAAAAAATATTGGTTGCCTTGGCAACAAATAGGCTTAAAACATGGCAAATATAACATTATTTGTAATTAGTCAAAAAGAGCTGAATTTTTTTTATGAAATTGCATCTTTAATTCAAGAGTTATTTCCTCTTTAAGAATTTTGCTTTTAAAAATGTTATATTTTGGTAACAGGGATGTTTCAAATATTAACTTTAGAGTGTCCTTCAGTCTGTCTGTCTGTCTGTTCATAAAAACTGTTTCCTGTGATCACTTTTAAAGAACTTTTCCAACAAATTTGCTTAAAATATAGAAAAATTGAAACGTTAGTGAATGGCCAATGGCCCTTCAGAATGTTGATGGGGTTCTAACCGGTAGGGGACTTATGGATTGCTTGCAATACTATGATAATTGCTTGTTATTATACAGGAAGCCTTCATTAGATGATGTTTTAGAGCTGATGCCTACGATAGGGAGGTAATGTCTTAATATTCTCTTTTATAGTTTAATCATACAATATATAATAATACATAGAGGATATTTGTTTAGTTCAGTGTAAGATCGGAATATATTTCACCGAGTGAGGACCAAAAGGTATATTTCACGAGTTGCGCAGCCACGAGTGAAATATGAACTTTTGGTGTTCACAAGGTGAAATATATTTCGATCTTACACTAAACTAAACAAATTTTCTTTTTATTATATGCAAAGAAACGTTTTAAAAAGACATTAAATCTAATACTGAATGAAAAGCGCGCCAAATAATAATACAACGTGACGTCATTTACGACGTCACGCCATTAAGTTGGTACCCAGTACTGTGCACGCTTGTATTTCACTGAGGGGCTTAAATTCAAAACAGTGAAATTATCAAAGTGGTAATTTCACTGTTTCAAACAGTGAAATTACCAGTTTTATATCACTGATATATTTCTATAAACCACCGAAAAGCATGTAATAAAAGTAGATAAAGCTATTTGATTTGTATGAAGTTATAAATGATGACATCAACCCTATTTCTTATAGTTTTATGGTGGTTCTTAGTTTTGTGAAACAGGGTTATCTATATGCCAGGATAGGAGTACAAAGAAATTATAAATTCTCAGTTGAAGGATACTTGGTATTATACATATACATTGTATTCCAATAAAGTCCTGAATACAATTATTTAACCTAAACATTGATACATGTACTCAGTGTCCTCTTGTGATATGCATGGGACATAAAACCTATAATAATGTCAGTCCAGGATTAATTATATTGGGTATGGTCAGTTTTTAGCTGAAAACCGGTTAGAAAATTCAATAACCAATAACCGAGGTTTGTTTTTGTCAAAGAGGCGAAAAAGTTTTAAATTGATTCTAAATATTACCTTAGTGTTTTGTGACAAGAGAACACAATTAGTTTGTATTTTAGTTTTACTCAACAATGTATTTTTTCTGATGGAGTACGGTACAACTGAAAATAGTTACTACATGTATATATGGGATATGTACATTGTATTATAATAATTTTGAGTACAACAAAATAGGAACAAAATGTCATATTTTGTCATAAAGAAACAAAGTGAATGATTTTATTAGTACCATCCTTTAAACGTTTAACACTGTAATTAGGAAAGCATTTTTTTGTAACCATGACAACCCTTAGTTATAGGATAAAGTGTAGAGCCCCCTCATTCAAGTGAGTTGCCAATAATACATAAAAATAGATATAAAATCAATTTTTTTTTGTGGTAAAATGAAACAGTATGAATTTCTGATTGTCCAAACATGTGGTTTCAATTTATGAATAGATTATTGATTTTTGCCCAAAAAACATTTTAGGTTATTCATTAAAATGAGCAGTCTGTACACTTTATCCCATTGAAAATAGTCTTATAAATAGTAATATTAAAAAAGTAATAAAATGAATCTTACCTTGGAGGCTGGACTGACTAATATTATGCTGGTTTTATGCAATTCTATATTATAGATAGAATTTGAAGGGTTAAATTTTATATTTGCCATTTATAAAATAGCAAAATGCTAAAAGCATATTAGTTGGAAGAGGATTGTGATATTTTAGTGCTTCTACATGAAGCCATATGAAGTTGAGCCTTATTTAACATTATTATATTGTCATCAAGACCTCAATTAATTTACAATTTTAGTTTTTAAGACAAATAAATGTATGTATCTCTGACATTACAGAAGTTTTGAAAGTTTACTAAACTACGAAGGTGATGACATTGAGGATGTTTTCTGCCTTACATTTGAGGTATTGTGTACTTATATCTTATATTCCTTGGTCTTAAAAATATTAACTAACCATTTTATAAATAATACGAGTTAAGTATGTTTCAAAGGGGAAAAAATGGTCAAGCTCCCATCTTAGTTTGTTGTACTATTTTGATCATCATTTTTTTAGTGATTCCTTTTAACATTTATGCTATGTAAATAGAACTTGACCACATGTTTTAGAAACACATATGACAAATCACATACATGTTTTAGTTACTGTATAGAGATGGCTTATACATGTTTTAGTTACTGTATAGAGATGGCTTATATAGTAATATGTTACAGAATCTTCCTTTTGGGCTATAGGTTCATGGTTTGATTGGTCTAACCATGGCATGTGTCAGACACTTAAAGATACAGCGTAAAGTCCCTACTTATTGAACTCTAGTTAAAGATATTTACACCATGAAAGCTCAAAAACTTTTTATAATATTAACATACTGTGAATTTTGGTTTGGGATAAGTATCAAACATTATTATAGAAATACTTACATATATTTCATTCTTTCCAGATCACTCAGGAATGTTTTGGTGAAACAAAAACTGTAGAACTTGTATCCAATGGTTCTTCTAAGGTTGTAAATAAAGAGAATAGGTAATGGAGTATGTGCTTTAACATTTGTATAAATCACATTCTTAAAAAAGAAGTCATTACCTGCATTACTGTTTTCTTAATGAATTCTTTAGAAATCTTCTGTCATCTTTACATAAATATACATGGAGCTATTGTTCAGACTATTGGTATGCATTAAGTTTCTTTCAGATCTTATTTTCATAAAATGTATAAATAAAAATTATATATTGACAATACAATTTTCACAACAAATTTAGAAATTCTTTTATCTTGGAATAGAGTGTATGAAAGTGATGATATAAATATGTTTACAGGAAAGAGTTTGTAGACCTGTATGTTAACTACATTTTCAACAAAGCGGTGGAGAGCCATTTTAGTTCATTCTACACAGGATTTCATAAAGTTTGCGGAGGTCGAGTTCTTGTAAGTTACGATATACATGTATGATAGTTACATCAATGTAAGGTCAGTTTACTGTAAGATGTCTCTGTAAATAACTGATTGTAATTTTTGTAAGTCACTTCAAAATTCACTGTTGTTTAGGTCCAAAAATGGATATTGAGTTCTTTCATTTGAAGGTGATACTGATTAGGTTTATGATTACAGTTTTCCTAAAATACCTTGAAAGTCACCATATGAATTTTCAATGTGTATTGAAAACAAACCAAGAAAGAAGATTCCTGATAATAATTAAATTGCATCTTTAAATTTACAGAGGTTTTTGTGCCTCCACTTTAGTGGCGGGGATTTAGATTTACCCTTGTCCGTCCGTCCTTCCCTCCGTCCGTCCCTTCACTTTTGTGTCGCATGTAACTCAAAAAGTATTTGATCTAGCGTCATGAAATTTTACAGGAATGTTGATCAGCATGTGAAGTTGTGCACCTGGGTATTTTCGTCTGGATATTTTTAGTATTTTTAGAGTTATTGCCCTTGACTTAGTAAAATTTTGCAATTTTCAACTTGTGTCGCATGTAACTCAAAAAGTATTTGACCTAGAGTCATGAAATTTTACAGGAATGTTGATCAGCATGTGTAGTTGTGCACCTAGGTATTTTCATCTGGATATTTTTAGTATTTTAAGAGTTATTGCCCTTGACTTAGTAAAATTTTGCAATTTTCAACTTGTGTCGCATGTAACTCAAAAAGCATTTGACCTACATGTAGAGTCATGAAACTTTACAGGAATGTGGATCAGCATATGTAGTTGTGCACCTGGTTATTTTCGTCTGGATATTTTTAGTATTTTTAGAGTTATTGCCCTTGATTTAGTAAAATTTTGCAATTTTCAACTTGTGTCGCATGTAACTCAAAAAGTATTTTACATAGAGTCATGAAACTTTACAGGAATGTTGATCAGCATGTGTTGTTGTGCACCTGGGAATTTCGTCTGGTAAAATTTTGCAATTTTCAACTTGTGTCGCATGTAACTCAAAAAGGATTTGACATAGACACATTAAACCTTACGGGAAAGTTGCTCAGTATATTAAGTTCTGCACCTGGTGTTTCGCTTGTGGATTTATCCAGTATTTGTAGAGTTATTTCCCTTGACTTACTAAAAGATTTTTAGTTTTCAAAAGCTATTTGACCTAGAGTCATAAGATTGACAGAACAGTGGCGCGGTGGGGGCACCTGTGTCCTATGGACACATTTCTAGTTTATTATTATTTTCATCATTTAGATTAAACCATTGTTAAGTGTTTTGTTGAATGTAGATTAATCATTCACTTCATTTTAAGTTATTATTTCCTTCTAATATGTACTGTCACAATTTTAATCTGAGAAATATAACCAATTCACATATATTACAGGAATTGTTCCATCCAGAAGAGCTTAGATCTATGGTTATAGGGAATGAAAATTATGACTTCCATGAACTAGAAAAGGTTTAAATCTTTCCATTGACATTTTGTAATAACTTAACAAATTTCCTCTTTTAGAGGTAAAGTTAAATATTGTTTTGAACATGTCAGTGTATTGTTAGTTGGTAAATTACATGGTTTTGGTTTAATAATAAAAATAAACTTGAGTTTACTGGATGTTTAAGATTTAAAGCAGCTGCCTCAAGATTCATGTTAATTTTCATGAAAATTTTGGAAATGTATTTTAATAGTAAAATATTGTGAATTGAACAAATAAAAAAATTAACATAATGCAATTGACACAATGCAAGAAAATTACCAAAAAGTTGTCAACATATGCAAAAACAGCCCTTACTGCATTAGTAACACAGTAGAAATATGGTAATAAAATACTGCAAAATCAGTCTTAAACTGCACTTTACATGTAAAATATAACTAGGATCTTGAATGTTTTACCTTTCTCAAAATTTTAGTACATTTTTCTCAAAATTGATTTTCTGAAAAAATATTTTGGCTCATCTGGAGGCGTGCATATTTAAAAACAGTTGTCACAATGCTGTTTACCTGATGTTATGAATATTACAACCCAATCTGTTATTACACAGTAAACATACATGTATATCTTCCATATCTTACAGAACACTGAATACAAGGGAGATTACCACAGATATCACCAGACAATCAAACATTTCTGGGATGTATTCCATGATCTTACTCTAGAGGACAAGAAGAAATTCTTATGTAATTATTTTCTATCAAGCTATCTCTTGAAGTGAAGTAAGGTTGATTTACAGAAATAGATAGAAATATGATGTGCAGTTCAGTTAACAAAATGTTTATAGGATCATGGTTACTTTCTTTTTTCAGACTGAAAACTATAGTGCCTACCTCCTCTAAACATGACTATAAGCCAAATTTTTATACTTTTTTCATTTTAAGGCTTAAAGTTTAAAGTCATTTACAATATTGAAAGTTCTTTTGTTATATGGAAGGTTGGTGACTTTAAATATGCATTCTATAACATGTGTTTAGGTCTGTCTGTAAATGCAGTCTTCAATATCAAGTAATGACCCTGGACATGCCATGAGTCATGCATTTAAAGGGTTAATTTTGAAGTACATAGTGGTGATAATTTACCACAATGTAATTTCCACAGAGTATGAATTTTGAGTCAAAAGTAGGTCACTGTAGAGCGGCCAATGGGAACCTAAATGTACAGTAACCGGAGACAATATGAAGAGGATGCAGCCCGAAAAAGGCTGTTGGTGCCAATTAAAGGGTCTGCCTTTCAAGCCATCACTCTGTGCTAGGGGCTCATGTAGCCTTGCACTCTTCCTCATTGTCCCTGCCTACTTTGTAGGGCCACTCCCTTCAGCTTAGTCATTACATTGGCAGCTGGTTAGCAGGATACAAGTTTTGGTTATCTTTTTCGCGATCACAATTTCTTCAAATCTCCTGCTGATTCCCTGTGACTTCTTCACAATGTACATGTATCGAGGGGAAGAGAGATGTGTTTAGATGGCCAAATACAAAAGTTATATAATTGATTCCAGTTTAATGCACAAGTACATCACAAGAGCGAAAAATATACTTTAAAAAGAAGTCTCCAAAATATGACCAGAAACTACAATACCCAGATCTTAGATATATGGCATGTAACATCACCTTATTGTCCTCTACAAAATTCACTTTTTTTATTGGCACTGCTGCTTGGATCACTTAGTTCATACAAGTTTTTATAGGAAATGACATTAAAGTCTTCTCGTGTGAAAATACAATGCTCAGAGCTAAATAATTTAGCAAGTAGTATTGTACTTCTTTTAAATTTATATAAATTATACCCCCATTACAAATTGTGACACTAATACTTACTTCTGCATTGAAGAGTTGTGCCCTATACAATGTGCTTCAGGCGAGTGATCGAGGGTGACATTGCCCTCTTGTTTGCTCTTCTCATTAGCAATGGTGTTCTTCTATTCTGGTTTCAGTATACCTCACAGGAAGTGACAAAATTCCAATAGTTGGAATGAAACATGTCAAGGTAATATTTCTTTTTATTTTTCTAATTATAATTTATTAATTCTATTTATAATTTATAAACATTTAACATGTATTTACATTCAGGAAAAATTATTAATCATTGAGCTAGATGTGCTGTTTTTTCATAAAAGTATGTAACAGTTTATTGGAAATAAGGGGCAAATTATTAAAGGTCAACAATTTTGACCTTAGGAAGCAGCCAAGGGGCTATATGAGTAGAAGATTAGCATTTGTCTTGACAAAATTCAGTTAACATTTTACATGCTTTGTAATAGTACTGTATTTCATTTAACATGTATGTTTGATCATCAGTTTTAAAGTATACTAGGGTTTACTGATGTGATGAAACTTTGAACTATGATTGTTTTATTATCAGCTTGTGATACAGCCTATGAATGTTGAAGAGAAATATCTACCTGTGGCTCATACATGCTTCAACCTTCTAGATCTTCCTAAATACTCTACGAAGGAGACAATGAAAAACAAACTGTTACAGGCCATTCAGCAAACAGAGGGGTTTGGACTGGTTTAATTTTCAAACAAAAATATGACATAAACTAATGTATAATTGTAAGTTTAAAGCATACCTTGTTGAAATGATATCTTTCAAATCAACAGATACCTCAGAATGTTTAAGATTGTCTCCCTGTGAATAGACTTGATGGTTGTCTATTGAGGGTAAAAATAGTGTGATGTTTATTGTAACATCCAATCCAGAACACATGGTAGTTCATTGTGGTGTTGACAAATTTAAACATGGTGGAAAATATGAAATTTCCCCTTCATAAATAAACCTTTTCAAATTGCATTTTATTACCTAGATAGAATGTCTTTATAAAGGATGTTACTTGTATGCTAACTTTCTGTGAATATTGCATGGTAACTTTCTATGTGATATTTAAATAAAATACATATGTTAAGACATAATTATTGATTGAAGGTTGATGGTAACACTCAGTAAATGTTATGCTACTTGTTACATTAATAAAAGGCAATGATGTCTTCTTTAGTTTTACATTACATGATTGTTTAGCAGCAAAATAAATTGATTTCTTTGCAAAGATATTTGGTATCAAAGTACTTGTACAGACTTCTTTTCATGAGATTGATGGTATTTAGCTTGCTAAGACTTGAAAGAAGTTTTTATTCTGTACTGCATAGCCCTTTCATTCGTTGACTAAAATCTTAGCAATTTGCTATATACTGTATACTAACATAGGTTAAAGTTCAGTGGCATTAAGGTCAATTATCTTAAGACTGAATAAATACAAAGCTTTTAAAAAGAAATCCTTATCTGTTGATGCATTTTATTCATTATTATAACTCACACTATATACTCCATATCAAGTCAAAAAACAAAACAATCTAATGGTGCCCCCTTTAAAAAAATTACATTTTGTTGTAGTTACCTCCCTTCATACAGTATTGTTCTGCTAAAATAGTAAGGCCTTATTGACTTAAACAATAAGACACATTAGGGTGAAAACTCATTTTATAACTTATACTTTCATAGCCTTTATTTATTGAATTATTTCTTAAATGTTTGTAATGGAGGTACCTTACATAGACTTTTACACTTGTGTGATGATTGAATTCAACGAGGGTCAAGATCATTGAAAATAAAAAAAGAAATTATACTTTTATAAATAGCTTGTGGTTGGGTTGGAGCAGCTTAGGTATCATCAATTTATCACCCTAGTGTAGTAACGGGTTAACTCCTCCGAATATAGTTGTATAGAATTTAGCCTGTTCCTGCACTAAGGTGACAATTTTGCATCAACTTTAGATGTTTACGTTCACTAATTGTATAAAATTTAAACAATGAGTAATCAGATGCTGCCTCTAGTAAAATATACCTGTATTACTCTAGCTATTGTTAAGTATCTTGTCTTTTGTTTTTGTGTTTAATTTTACTCTTAATTATCTTATTTCTGTTGCTGTTAAATCATATAAAAGTTCAGTAGAAACATGCATTATATCTTGGTTATATATACAATGTAAGCAGAGTTTAGAAGGGAGGAAAGCTAGCATCAAAGTCATACAAGAGGTGTTCAAATATGAATGCAACTTGGCCAATATATGCTGTGAATGCTTTAAAAAATTGTTTTTTGTTTCATTCATTGTGTTTAAAGCAATTTCGTCGTCACTCTGAATTACAAACTTTCTTACTTACTTTAAAGGGCTGATTTGATAAAATATATTTCAGGAAAGGGGAATATAATTACATTATTCTTTCCACAAAAAAAACCCTATTAGCTTACCTCCAAACTCTATAAAAAAGCAATAAATTATTGTGATCTGTATATACATGCACTATCGTTGGATTTTGTAATAATTTTATTGTGTGAAATGCTAATTGTGATATATTGTCAGCATAATGTATTTAATATAATGATATATTTGATATAAAATATGAAGATATCATGGAGTTTTATTTGGCTTATATTGAGCTATGTCAATGATACATCTGTGGGTAGAATAATATGTTTATATTGTTTAAACTATGTTAGAGATGAAGTGTATACACAATTAAGTTTTTATGACAAATGTTATATTTTAATCCATGACAAATGATCTGCTGCTATGATAGTTTTATTGGTAATATTTTTACATTTCATCTAAAATATTACCACTGAATGTTGTAGGTTACTACTAGTTTTACCATGAATTCTGTAATGTCAGTTTTACAAGTTGCAGCAGTCAACAATCACTTTCCCCTCACTACTTTGAGTTTGAATTGTGTCAGGGACTTTACATTCTTTAACATAAGGAAGCTGTCCAGCTAGCTAACGGAAGGCTCTATTCAGGTCTGAGTCTGAAATTATGTCTTCCTTCACTAGTAAAGCTTGAAAGTTACAGTATGACCATTACAGTCTTGGTGTGACTTGAAATCCAACAAAACAAACAATCAAAAGCTCTCTGGATCAAAAGTAACACCTTTCTTATAAAAGGGGCATTGTAAAGATGTTCTGTATCCAAGCAGATTGGTACAAGTTAAATTTAATTTATCTATACAGAAAATTGGTATATTTTATCTATACAGTAAATTGGTATATTTTATCTATACAGAAAATTAGAATAAGTTAAATTTAACCTATCTATGAAGTAAATAGCTATATGTTAAATCTAGCATGTCTATTATGTTAAATCTAACTTGTCTATAAAGTAAATATTTATATGTTAAATCAAATTTATCTAGACTGTAAACAGGTTTGACTTCAGAATTTAATTTACTTCATGAACCTTTCACTGCATGAGCATATCGTGAAAAATGGCTGTTTTCATTGAAAATCCTCCTGTTACAAGTTCAAACTGCTTTGAAACTATAAAAAGGCTTCAATACTGATCAAACTTGGCACAAATGTTGACTTGACCATATCCTTTGTAACAGCATGCTCTCTCTTAAATTTCCTGTTACCATGGCAATGGGACATCTCAAAATTGCCAAAATTACTATTTCGTCAAAATTGATTTCAAAGTGCTGCAGCTCCTTAATGGATTTAGATAGAGTCAAAGGCTTTTCAGTGTTGGTTACACCTTATGTTAAGATTGACCTTGAGCCATTTTTAGCTCTCACAAGTCCAAAATTTTCTTGGCAATGAGGAGGGGTGGGGCCTTTCAAACCCCCCAAACAGAAGGGGCACATCCCACCTCTCCACCCCCTTGATGTACCTTCTTTATAGGAGGTGGTGCTGAAAAAGTGATTACTTTTTTAACAACATCTTGAAACGTAAACAAGTGTTTGGGGCCAAAATAGGGTATTTTTTTCACTATTTCAGGCCTCAAAAATGGGGGGGGGGGGGGTGAAAACATTCAAAACACATCTATATCAGGTTAAAGGTTAAGTTAAAAAAAAAATCAGAGTGAGATATTTAAAATCAGTCAATATTTTTTATTGATACTTATGTTAATATTTTGTATTTTAAAATGAATAAAATTGCTTTTATGAAAATATTTTGTATGCCTTTGTTTAATTAGTTGCCACTTTGTCCGTCCATCCAGCTGTCCATTAGACTAGGAGAACAATAAGTAACAGTACATTATCTTTGATCCTTTTCATTCCATTTTTACTTACCTGTCTTTTTTTAGGCCTTTTGTGACTATAAATTACTTAAAAAATCAAAAGAAAAATCACATAAGATCTGACCCTAGATCCACACTGTCTGTCCTAAGTCCCACATCCTCTGTCCCTAGACCCACACTGTCTGTCCCCAGTCCCACACTGCCTGTCCCTAGACCCACACTGTCCCTAAACCAACATCGTCTGCCCCTTAACACACACTTTCAGTCTGTAGTCCCACACTGTCTGTCCCTAGTTCCACACTGTTGGCTCATAGATCCACACTGTCTGTCCCTAGTTCCACACTGAATTCCCTAGATCCACACTATCTGTCCCCAGACCCACACTGTCCCTAGTCCCACACTGTCTGTCCATTGAACCACACTGTCTGTTCCTGCACCCACACTGTCTGTCCTTAGATCCACACTGTCTCTCTGTAGACCTACACCATCTGTCCGTAGACCCACACCATCTGTCTCTAGACCCACACTGTCTGACCCTAGTCCCACACTGTCTGTTCTGAGTCCCACACTGTCTGTCTCTAGACCCACACTGTCCCTAGATCAACACTGTCTGTCCTTAGACCCACACTGTCTGTCGCTAGACCCACAGTGTCCCTAGATCCACACTGACTGTCCTCAGACCCACACTGTCTGTCACTATACCCACACTGTCTGTCCCTAGATCCACACACACTGTCCCTAGATTAACACTGTCCCTAGACCCACACCGTCTGTCCTTAGATCCACACTGTCTGTCCCTATATCAACGATGTCTGTCCCTAGATCCACACTGTATGTCCTTAGATCCACATTCTCTTTCCCAAGATCCACACTGTTAATCCCAAGACCCACACTGATTTCCTTAGATCCACACTGTGTCCCTAGATCCACACTGTCTGCCCCTAGACCCACACTGTCTGTCTCTAGATCCACACTGTCTGTCACTAGATCCACACTGTCTGTCTCTAGACCCACACTGTCTGTCCCTAGACCCACACTGTCTGGCCCTAGATCCACACTGTCTGGCCCTAGATCCACACTGTCTGTCCCTAGATCCACACTGTCTGTCCATAGACCCACACTGTCTGGACCTAGATCCACACTGTCTGTCCCTAGACCCACATGGTCTGTCCCTAGATCCACATGCTGTCTGTCCATAGACCCACACTGTCTGTCCCTAGATCCACACCGTCTGTCCCTAGACCCACACTGTCTGGACCTAGATCCACACTGTCTGTCCCTAGACCCACATGGACTGTTCATAGATCCACACTGTCTGTCCCTAGATCCACATGCTGTCTGTCCCTAGACTAACACTCTCTGTCCCTAGATCCTAACTGTCTGTCCCTAGACCCACACTGCCTGTCCCTAGACACCCACTGTCTGTCCCTAGATCCACACTCTCTGTCCCTAAACTTACACTGTCTGTCCCTAGATCCACACACTGTCTGTCCCTAGATCCACACTGTCTGTCCCAAGACTTACACTGTCTGTCCCTAGACTTACACTGTCTGTCCGTAGATCCACACTGTCTGTCCCAAGACTTACACTGTCTGTCCCTAGTCACACACTGTCTGTCCCTAGACTTACACTGTCTGTCCCTAGATCCTAACTGTCTGTCCCTAGACCCACACTGTCTGTCCCTAGATCCAAACTGTCTGTCCCAAGACTTACACTGTCTGTCCATAGTCACACACTGTCTGTCCCTAGACTTACACTGTCTGTCCCTAGATCCACACTGTCTGTCCCAAGACTTACACTGTCTGTCCCGGACTCCCTAGTCACACACTGTCTGTCTCTAGACTTACACTGTCTGTCCCTAGATCCTAACTGTCTGTCCCTAGACCCACACTGTCTGTCCCTAGACCCACACTGTCTGTCCCTAGACCCACACTGTCTGTCCCTAGACCCACACTGTCTGTCCCAAGATTTACACTGTCTGTCCCTAGTCACACACTGTCTGTCCCTAGACTTATACCGTCTGTCCCTAGGTCCTAACTGTCTGTCCCTAGACTTACACTGTCTGTCCCTAGACACACACTGTTTGTCCCTAGACCCCACACTGTCTGTCCCTAGACCCACACTGTTTGTCCCTAGTCACACACTGTCTGTCCCTAGACTTACACTGTCTGTCCCTAGATCCTAACTGTCTGTCCTAGACCCACACTGTCTGTCCCTAGACACACACTGTCTGTCCCTAGTCACACACTGTCTGTCCCTAGTCACACACTGTCTGTCCCTAGATCCTAACTGTCTGTCCCTAGACCCACACTGTCTGTCCCTAGACACACACTGTTTGTCCCTAGACCCACACTGTCTGTCCCTAGACCCACACTGTTTGTCCCTAGTCACACACTGTCTGTCCCTAGTCACACACTGTCTGTCCCTAGATCCTAACTGTCTGTCCCTAGATCCTAACTGTCTGTCCCTAGACCCACACTGTCTGTCCCTAGTCACACACTGTCTGTCCCTAGTCACACACTGTCTGTCCCTAGTCACACACTGTCTGTCCCTAGTCACACACTGTCTGTCCCTAGACACACACTGTCTGTCCCTAGTCACACACTGTCTGTCCCTAGTCACACACTGTCTGTCCCTAGATCCACACTGTCTGTCCCTAGTCACACACTGTCTGTCCCTAGACACACACTGTCTGTCCCTAGTCACACACTGTCTGTCCCTAGACTTACACTGTCTGGCCCGAGATCCACACACTGTCTGTCCCTAACCCACACTGTCTGTCCCTAGATCCACACTGTCTGTCCCTTGATCCACATTGTCTATCCCTAGACTTACACTGTCTGTCCCTAGACCCACACTGTCTGTCCCTAGTCACACACTGTCTGTCCCTAGACTTACACTGTCTGTCCCTAGTCACACACTGTCTGTCCCTAGACTTACACTGTCTGTCCCTAGATCCTAACTGTCTGTCCCTATATCCACACTGTCTGTCCCTAGATCCACACTGTCTGTCCCTAGATCCACACACTGTCTGTCCCAAGACCCACACTGTCTGTCCCTAGACTTACACTGTCTGTCCCTAGATCCTCACTGTCTGTCCCAAGACCCACACTGTCTGTCCCTAGACTTACACTGTCTGTCCCTAGATCCACACTGTCTGTCCCTAGACTTACACTGTCTGTCCCTAGTCACACACTGTCTGTCCCTAGACTTACACTGTCTGGCCCGAGATCCACACTGTCTGTCCCTAGAACCACACTGTCTGTCCCTAGATCCACACACTGTATGTCCCTAGATCCACACTGTCTGTCCCAAGACCCACACTGTCTGTCCCTAGACTTACACTGTCTGTCCCTAGAATTATTCTGTCTGTCCCTAGACTTACACTGTCTGTCCCTAGAATTACACTGTCTGTCCCTAGACCCACACTGTCTGTCCCTAACCCACACTGTCTGTCCCTAGATCGACACTGTCTGTCCCTAAATCCACACTGTCTGTCCCTAGACACACACTGTCTGTACATAGACTTACACTGTATGTCCCTAGACCCACACTGTCTGTCCCTAGACCCACACTGTCTGTCCCTAGATCCACACGGCCTGTCCCTAGATCCACACTGTCTGTCCCTTGATCCACACTGTCTGTCCCTAGATCTACACTGTCTGTCCCTAGACCCACACTGTCTGTCCCTAGACTTACACTGTCTGTCCCTAGACCCACACTGTCTGTCCCTAGATCCACACTGTATGTCCCTAGATCCATACTGTCTTTCCCTAGATCCACACTGTCTGTCCTTAGACCCACACTTTCAGTCCCTAGTCCCACACTGTCACCAATGATATTTTTGATTGTAAACTAAACAAAATTAGTTTCTCCTATTGCATTGATGTGTTAATGACTAGAATCTGTTGGTTATTTGATGTTTCAATTAAAGTTAAATTCAAGAGAATGACTTATTTCACTTACACATTGATGGAATATGTCATGCTTGTATATTATACATGTAGTTCTAATTATCAAAACAAGGGATTTATTTTGTGATTGACACATATAATATAATAGCAACCGTTTGTGTAGTTTGGTTATGAAGAAAAAACACATTAACACACAATGAACAGTCCAAGTTTCAAAGCAGAAAGAGGCCATAAAATATTTTAGGCAGGGGCAGTGTTAATATGAAACATATTTACCTTTCCTAATTTTTTAGTACTCTAGGCACATTGATAATTCAGTAAAAATAATTGTAAATGGCAGTTACAGGAAACTCGAGAAGCAGAGAATGAAGTTTAATAAAAAGAAACTAATAAAAACGTAAAGGACGTTTCTGGGAGTTTTCATATAGACATATAGGCAACATTAAAACTGTTCAATAGAATTTCTTTAAACTTGGTATGTTGTTAGAATATGATCACAGATACATTTTCAGCGAAAAAAAATTGTTTCGAGTTATCTGCCCTTGATTTCGAGTTTTTCGTTAAATTCAAGGGCAGATAAGTTGCAATGAAGGGAAACAATACATTTTTTTTCCTTATTTTCATGAAGCTTACTTTCCTTTTAGTCGATATGCAAAATTTCAAAAACAAATTTAGAGTGGGTGTTTTTTTTTCTCCACATTTTCTTTTAACCTGTGCATTTTTTTCTTAAAAAATGCACTATTTTTAAGAATTTAAAGTACCTTTATTTTCATTGAAAAAAATAACAAACAATATAAGCAATTGCATGTTATTGGCGACGCCGGTGAGCGGCGTCGTCTCTTATGGAATGCTTTTTATTTTGGCCTATGGAAGGAGCTGTTATTATTAGCAGTTAATGTCATGTTGTGTTAATTAGTTTTATTTTGTTATGTATTGTACTCAACAATAAAAAGAAAAACATAATCCAGAAGTAAAATCAAGAATTCGTTTAAGTATGTATAAGTTATCTGCCCTTGAAATGACGTCAAATAAGTAGAAAATTCTGATTCAGGGGCAGATAACTCAAAAACGAGAATGGTGACCCCAATTATTTTTCGCTTAATATGTTTCTGTTATCATATTCTAACAACATGCCAAGTTTAAAGAAATTCTATTGAACAGTTTAAATTTTGCCTATATGTCTATAATCAAACTCCCGAAAACGTCCAAAGTACATTCACGAATGATACGATTGTTCATGGGCACTGTCATCATTGTACTTTAATTGGGAGTTAGGTGTGACCTTGATGTTTGAGCTAAAAGCATTTGGTTATGTGCGAGACACATCTGCTCAAATATTTATGCCTTATGATTTTAAAATCTCAAATGATTCCAAAATTTATCCTTGAATGCCATTTCCATCACACTTATACCAAATTATTTTAAAAAATCTATCCATGAATGACAGAATTGTTGAACAGCCACGACCTTCTGTACACTTTCATGAAAAAAAATCATGTCATAACTGTGGACTTACAAACCATACCTTGACCTTTGAACTTGATAGCAAATTTTTGCTTTGGACATGTCATTATGTCCAACACATTTATACAAGGTCATTTTAAAATTCATTCAGAATGTCAGACTTCTTGACCAAAAATGACCATCAAAATGCCCTTTTATCAAATATTCCTTTCAAGTCTGCGGCCTTGACCTTTGACCTACAAATCTGTATCTTGCAAGCGACACATCCTCTCAATGTGAAACACATGCGAAATTATTTTATGATAGCAAGGTTATTTATTACCTGCACAAAACTGTATACGGACAGACAAATGGACAGTTTAAATTCAGGGGATGAAGGATATAAAGAGCGCATTTAATGATGTGTAAATATTTATTACAATCTGATTACATGTAATTCAAATACAAAAATGTGTAAAACATTAAATTTTAAAAGTATAGATTCAAAAATAATATTAGACTGATTAAACAAGAATAAAAATAAAAAAGGAGTACATCGATCCAATAAAAATACCTATATTATTTAAATAATATATTCATTTAGTGATGTGGAGAAAAGATATATATGAAATGTGATGAACTTGAGATAAAATGAATATTGAAAAAGAAACAAAATGGGGAACATTCAGTTTCAAAAATTTGGTCGTGAAAATATAGATATCTTAATTACAAGTAAAAGGGGGAAAAAAAAGAATTTGTCCAAAACACTGCCCAAACTGATAATTATTTTCAGAGATCTGATAATAGTGAAGGCAAAAAAAAACTGGTGAATTTTGTTAGAAAGCATCAATATATTTAAAGTTAATTTAGACTAACATAGACAATAATATCATTTTAGCTGTGGAACGAAGCTAGAAAAGGAAAGTAAACTGTTTCAATTATAATTCTATTAAAATTAATAGTATACGTTATGTATGACGGATGTCCAAGTCCATCTAAAATGTCTGAATCAATCTTTCGAGGAAAATCATTAATTTTAGAAAACAAAATAAGTTGCACAAATGTTGTCACTGAATCTCTGCATCAAGTCTGATACGATTTGATATATAATGTGACTGGATAACGGTGATTTAAAGTTTTGTATCATATGTAGGGTCAACATGGGCAATATTGTCATGTCCATTGATTTGCTGAGATTTTCCGTTGATAATGTAAGGACGGATTTCTTCATTTAAAATGTAGACTGGCAATCCTTTTCTTTCCTCTTCTCTATAGTATCAGGCTCATCTTCTATGTCCTACAAATTTATATTTTCTTTGTAACTTTTCACTAGTTTAATATTTGATTATTATTTTTATATGTTGGCAATTAATATACAAAGAATATATTGGGGAAAAATGTAATGCCAGACAAGGAAATATTTCTTTTATGGTAGTAACATACGGAATAACGATCAAATGCATCAAAAAATCTTTTTAGAGTTCATAGAATTGAATTAAACTTTTAGGAAATACTTCTTTTATGGTGGCAATATACGGAATAACGATTAAATATACAAAAAAATATTTTAAGAAATCCTAGAATTGAAAAAAAAAATAATTTAACTTATCACATTAGCTTGAATGCAATCGGAATTAATTATACAGCATTTTATTTACCTCCCCATGCCTAACTCCGAACCGGAGTGGTTTTCTCCAACTTTCTGGTAAATACGGGAAGAATATGTCAAACACAGGGCATATCAGTTTTGGATTTAACTTTGAGGTATCAGTAACACCTACAATATAATCCATGGTTAATAATTTATATTCGAATCAAATCTCAATTGTAATATTATGGACTTTATTAGCGACAAATGTTGATTTCATGGACAGTAAGCTGATAAATATGTTTTACATGATCTACTATGTCAGCCAATAAATCAATACATTGGTTAATATGTTATAAGACCAATGAATCATTACTTCTATCAAACGATACTTTATATTTTACATGTCATAAGATCAAATGATACAGTGGTTTACTAAATACAATGTAATAATATATTTACTTGTAAAAAGATGAATACTTTTGGAAGTCAGTTATATGAATATGCAATGGCTGATAAGGTGTTCGAACGTTTAAAAGCGACTGAAAGTGGAAGTGTGACATATTTACCAGTTATAAGACTGACAATCATTCCCACCACTACCACTGTTACCACACCAATACCCGAGTACCACATATAAGACACCGTGTACAGTCTTTTGTAGTCCTCTGAAAAAAAAACAGACAAAATAACCCACTTTAAATTATTATATAAAGGGCCAAAAAAGTAATAAAAAGACCCATCAAAATTTTGGTAAAAGGGGGGCTTTTACCCCCGATTTAATCAGTTTGCCGAGGGGTTTTGATGTTTTTTTCCCCTTTTGAAATCATAGCCCAAAAACATAAAAAACACTTTTCCCTTTTTGCCCAAAATATGAAACCCCAAAAAAAAGGAAAAATTTAAAACGAGAAATCTGAATTTGATTTTTTCCCTTTTGGGTTTTCCCCTTTCTTCTGCCGTCACAAAAAAAGTAAACCCCAGCAAAAATGACCAATAAAAAGGGGCCATGCTTTTGGAGTGGGGGTTTAACTAATACCATGCACTCCAGTTAACGCACTGTGCATGTATATGTATACGATTTAACTCTGACACATTTTCAACAGAAATGTCCCCAAACTATGATACAATATATGCTTATCGTTTTATAAAAAATAACTGAGCAAGAATTACTTACTCGTAGTTATCATTGACATCGTTCGGTGCTAGAGTGACCGATGTGTCTATTATTTCTGGGGCTGTTTTGTTTAACGCTGTCCAGTTACAGGCAGACGTGTACACAGGTGGTTTTACTGTGACACTTGTAGATGTGATAGACGTTCCGAGACCAATCCACATTAACAAACAAACACTGGTTGAAATTCCTATACACCCGCCCTGAAACAAACATAGTCTGTTGTATTTGTCATGTATATTTTTTGATCAACCGCATACCTCATTCGGTTAGAGTGCGGGACTTGTAATGTCGACATTGTAGTGCTGGCCAACTACAATTACTAATCAGTCTTTCGGATGCGACTTAAAATCGAGGTCCTGTGTATGAGTGCTTTAACACTTGCCACGCTAAAGAACATTGAGAAGCTTCTGGAATTCTGCACTATCCTACAAAATCTAAAATTACTAATACTCTTCTGGAGCAACCGTTGAAAAGTATAAATGAACTCAAATACACACACATGTATACTTCTACCAACAGACGGTCATTCCTTCAACAGCCATATTAATATCATCAAAAAATTTAAAGACATATTCGGGGAAAAAAACACATTTACAAGTATTCCGTGTATTATCGTATAATCGTTCTGTAAGTAAGTTCACCGATTTGTAACTATAATTAGATGATTAGAAAGGAGTGCCGTTCATTTGCAGGAGAGAAAAGGAAACACTGAAAAATATTAAATAGATCTACATACCCATTTGTTTGCCCATGGAAATAACATACCCAATGTGAACATTCCTAGCAAAGGGCCTCCGAGTATTCCAAATAACACGTATCCTAACTGGAAAAACAACAAATGACAATATACAAGTAAAAAAGTAAATATTTCCGTATATGTACTAATACGTTGATTGAAATGATGTTGATGTAAATGTGCAGGATTAATTGTACTAAATTAACTTTTGTTTCGAGTATATGTACACGAATCGTGCTCCAAATTGATGAATTAATTCATTTCTTTTTTTTAATAAAAGAAGAAAACAAGTTAGCAGTATCATGAATTCGTTACAATGACATTTAAATGCTATATGACCATGTATTTCGGTTTTGTCTTATATAACCCTCACCTTTAATCTTTTATATATGTCATATAACCTAACAAAATCTTATACAGTATGAAAATTTGTCGTTGGTTATTTGACACACAAACATAATACGGAATAAAAAATACTGCACATCGCTTTCTTGGCTAGTAGTCATGTATATAAATAATATAAACGTTACTATTATCAATGAACTTGATTCTAAAAACAAGTTATATCATAAAATAATGATTTAAACAAGGTTACCAAAACGTAGGGTATGCTATATTTAAATGGTCTAATGATATAGTATTCATATAATGATATAGTATTCTAACCATGTTATACAATTATAACTTATCTAGTTATTGATCAGAACATGATTTTATACATAATATCACTTTCTCCTTGACCTTTGACCTAATGACCTCAAAGACAATAAGATCATCTACTGACCATGGGCAATACCCCCTTATAAGCTAGATAAACCATGGTTTATACTTTTTCAAATTATAGAATGGGCAAGGAAGACATGATTTACGTACGGACAGACAGACCGAAGTGTGCTGTCTACTTTTTAAGTTGGAACATTTAAAAGCATTTGAATAACATCAAGGTTCGACCTATATGATCAAGCTTCGAGTTACATGCAGACCCTGCAATATACACAGATCAGTCCATTAGTTAACGGCGAAGTGAAATGATACGACAGAATGACATGTTTACCTGTAAGATCATGGTTCCAACTTGAGAGACGATGAAAGCAAATGCCAGCGAGAGACAGCCGAAGAATATTACTGGTAAAACATAAAGAAAGGAAATTAAACATTACTTTTGATAACAAAATATGTTTGAGGGTTTTTTAAAAATTGTAATCTTGTTAAAGTATTCTCTGTAATTTTCTAAGCGCAAATTTTTTGTCTTTCTTTCAGAGTCGAAGACAACAGCTTTTACAATATAACAATTAACATAATCCCTTTTTAATTCAGTTGCATATAAGTATTTTTTCACTTATAAGATTGAAACTTTAATTATGTGAAATAGAGAGCATACCAAACATCTTTGAAAATAAAGTTGCCCGTGCATTAGATATTCCCTGACAGCACATTGGTCTTACAAAGTCCTCCAATATCACGGCTGCTACAGCATTTAGACCAGATGATATAGTACTGTTTAAAACAAAATACATAAGAATTTCATTGCTGACAAAAGAATTTTTTACATATTGTTCCTGAAATCCTGAAAGACTGTTCATTGTTTGGTTCTTTATTTGAACGGTTTAATTGACCTTGGTATGCTATTTACGAGTTATTTAACGCTTCACTTATCTACATATAAAATATACTGTCATATTTTTGGAGATAAAATCAGTTCAGTTAATTTATGAATTTTTCACGTTTACGAAAGTTTTGTGGTCTCATGATTGTAAGATAGACTTAATTTATTCATGAAATGCGCCAACATCTCTCTGTATCAATTTGTTATTTCACAATCAGTGAAGCTGAAGGGGAAGTTGCCCCGTACTTCACTTCAGTGTTATTATATTTTTCTGGTCCTTCGGGATCATTGATGCCAGCACTATTTAGTGTTGAGAATTGAGTACCGCTCAAGACGGTGCTAGGGGGCGTGAGGGATGTTGCACGTATTCATTATCCCTCATGTACAGACTCAATCAAACCGAGTTTGCAATTCTCTTGTAATTTTGTTGTGATTAATGCTTCCGAGGGATCACTTTGTTTCCAGATTTTTATACTTCACAACAGCAGGTGTCAAGTGCTGTGTGGCAGCTGTAA